CTCTCCCTTTTTTTTAAAAAAAACACAAAAAGGAGCTTTAATAATAATAATCCTTGCCTTTGACATAGTGCCTTATCAGGTCTTTGAGACATCTCAAAGCGCTTCACAGAATACACCGTAAAGTGAATTGACTGTACATTTTGTGGGCGAAATGTGCACAGCAGTGTCCCACAAACAGTTGTGGATTGAGTGACCAAATTATTATGCTTAAAAATATATATATTTTAAAATGTTTTAAAAGGGATTATTCCCCTGGAAAAGTGATCCACCAATTGACTAACCACCGGGTTCCTACTTACTGCTCGATAAACAGAGGCACGTGTATGGAGTAAGGAAACTTGCCCAGGAATCAAACCCAGGTCCTGTCGCTTGTGATGCAAGTGCTCAAGCCACTACGCTACAGGACTCCATAGCGATGATTTTGTCCTGCAAATAACCTTCATGTACAGAACACACAAACAGTTTTTCATTATTATTTAAGGAACAGTTAAACATGGATTTCACAAACAAAACACTAGCCTAGTTTTTCTGTTGAGTAGTCAGTTCAGCTCCAAAGAGATGCCACTTACTCCCTCCCCGCCAAGGGTATAGCAGACAACACAATAGCAAATCCCAATTTTTCCACATATGCCGAGAATTAGATTAAACCTTCACAGCATTTTTCTCTCACTTTGACAATGCGGCAACAATTACCAGACACGTCACGTCAACAGTCTGTGAAACAGGCAATCTGAGAAGGAATGAGTGTCACATAGGAATAGGAGTAGGCCATTCAGTCCCTTGGGCCTGTTAAGCCATTCTATTGGATCATGGCTGATCTATACTTCAACTCCAATTGCTCCATATCCCTCGATACCCTGAACTAACAGAAATCTATCCACCTCAGTCTTGAAAACGTGATTGGATTCAGCATCCACAACCTTTTGGGGGTGAGAGTTCCAGATTTCCACTACCTATCGTGTGACAAAATGCCTCCTGGTTTCACTCCTAAATGGCCTGGCTCTAAGGTTAAGACTATGTCCCCTTGTTTTGGATTCTCCCACCCACCAGAGGAAACAGTTTCGCTGTCTTACAATTCTGCCCCATCCAATACACTTAAAACATTAGCTATCATCTTAAACACACAACCAAACGGATTTCAGAGCAAACTTAATCTCATCTGGCCATCTGCCGGGAGCTGTGTTCAAACTGCAAGGCCGCTCTTAAAGAGTAAGCACACAATAGAATCTGAATGTTTTCAGGACAACGTGGTACGAGCCAAGTTGCAGATTTCGTTGGATCCATGGGATTTCCAGTCAACACACAATATCCTCCACAGAGAGAGCGAGAGCTGTAAACACGCTTACAGGCCAAACCGGTCAGCCCTCCAGGCTGTCAATCCCACACATGTTAACCTTGTCAAACACGGGTTGGTTTAGGAGCAGCACAGGGAAATGTCGAACAGACTGATTGAAACCCCGAGGATTGACACTCAAAAGTCAGGTCTCGGCTTCTTATACCCACTGTGCGTTGAGGTAAAAATCCAGCCAAGGCCCACACTGGTGTATGGTTCCTTCCAGCTAGTTATACAGTGAGCTTGCTGACTAAGTCACGCTCCTCGCCTGCAAGGGTAGAGTACGGACAGCTTTCAACAGGGGGAAGCAACACTGCAGAGTCAGCTGCTGCTCAGTAATGCTGTGTGACAGTTTGTTTCAAAACAATTGTCTTGTAGGCCCTATAAAGCACCCCGGGACATACCACAACATGGGGAGGGAGGAAATCAGGTTGATGTGAAAGGTACTGTGATAATAATAATCCTGGCACTTGATATAGCGCCTCATCACGCCTTCAAGACGTCTCAAAAAGCGTCACAGAATATACTGTAAAGTGAATTCATTGTGTATTTTGTGGGCGATGTTGTATATCAAATGTAAGGATTATCATTATTTTTTAATTCTGTCTATGATTCAAGCATGGGGGGGGGAGAAAGAGGAGATGAAGGAAGGACTCAATAATAACTCAACATTTGCAGATGGATATTCAGTTTCAGGACAGATACGTACTGTATTTCAATATACAAATTCTATCCTGCCACACCCAAACCTGATTTGTTTTACACAATCCTTAGAGCATTTCCAGCTATAAGACAGCATACAAGGGCCAAAATCAAAAGCTGTCGACTTTCACCACACATTCTCCCTCTCTCTTTTTCTCTCTCAATATCTCCATAAAATTTTGAACTGAACTAAAACAACCCGCCACAACACCAAACAACTCTTAAGTACAAACCCTTGAAGCAGGAGGAGGAGAAGGTTGCTTGCTTGCGACAGTGCAAATAAATCTCTCCTGGTAAACCACACCACTTGGCAATTGGAAATTGTGTGTTTCTCCCACAAAATACACAGTCAATCCACTTCGCAATACATTTTGTAAAGTGCTTTGAGACTTCTCAACGATGTGATAAGGCGCTATATGAAATGCAAGGATCATTATTAAGGGTTGAGCCTTGGTTGGACACTCCAGGCTCTATGGAGAACGCTGTAAGTTTGAAAAAAGATTTTTGCTAAACATGTAGAATAAATAGTGCTCATCCTTTATTTTCAATAGCTTCAAACAACAATGCAAGCTTAACACAACACCTACTAACCAGACTAAAGATCCAGTTGATTCTTTGACAGATTCTGATTAAATTGACATTGAAGCCGAGCTGACATACATCTCTGCCTCCAATGACAACGCAAGAGAAGGAGTTTAAGATTTACGTTACACTTTTAGAAGTATCCCAACTAAACGCAAAAACAGTTTAATAAAAATCAGCAGAACAAAAATATCACCAATCCAGCCAACGTAAAGAATAACCCACCGATTTATAACTCCTACATTAAACCCCTGTTTTTTAAAAAAAATTTAAACATGAAAAGGATTTTAAAAACCCGTCAAATTTTACTATGTTCTCTACCCACAGGGAAGGAACCTCTCAATGCAAACAGTGCCCCGAGTCCGTGTTCAGCACATGCTCCACAACCACTAGGTTACCATTTACAAGCGTAAGATTTTATAAGGAGCCAAATAAATCACATGAGTAAACTGGAGACAAGACTCGAGCAAGGTCTTCTGATCAGTTTTGCACTCAGTGGGAACTTTAGCGACATTGCAAAAAATATGTACCATATATAGCTACATACAGTGTATATCCATACCCACCCATATACACAGTGCATATCCATACATACCCATATACACAGTGTATATCCATACCCACCCATATATACAGTGTATATCCATACCCACCCACATACACAGTATATATCCATACATACCCATATACACAGTATATATCCATACATACCCATATACACAGTGTATATCCATACATACCCATATACACAGTGTATATCCATACACAACAACAACAAAATTACATTTATAGAGCGCCTTTCACGTCGGGAAGACATCCCAAGGCGCTGGACAGTCAGCGGTCAGGACCCGAGCAGGGGGGAGGGGTGGGGACAGAGAGGCTGAAAGCCCGGCCACTGATAGTAGGGCGGATCGGGCGGGATACATGGAGCAGCCGGAGCCCCCTGAACGGAGGGAGCGGGCAGGTTGGTAAGGAGTCAGCAAGTCAGAGGGGTAGGAGGGGGGGGCTTGAAATTGAGGACAAGGCAATCGGTGGGGGGCCCCGGTCTTGCTGACGTTCAGTTGGAGAAAGTTGTCCCTCATCCTGGATCATGTGTGTATATACACACACACACTCGCGTGAACAGTATAGATCTACTTATACACACATACATGTGTATATATATATAAATGTATGTAATCTGTGCAATAAAGCAGCTTTGCAAATACAGTATTAGAATTGATCCACATTTCACACGCAGTAAACCCATAAATCAGCCGGGATGGCTCTCTGCGCGGAACCAGACACACAGCAATTTCGAGTGGCTTAAGGTCTTCCAACTAAATTAGAAATACAGCACACACACATATACACACACACATATACACACACACATATACACACACACATATACACACACACGCATACACACATATACACACACACGCATACACACATATACACACACGCATACACACACACATACACACACACACACACATATACACACACACACACATATACACACACACACACATATACACACACACACACATACATACACACACACACACACAATCCCAATTTGCAAATTAAAACCGAGGCCAAATATAAAACAACCAGTTTGCAATGAAACACTTCCAAAAATATATAGTGACAGCAATACTGTGGGGTGGGGTGAGAGAGGGGAATACAATACCCGGAGGCCAAACAAAACAGCTGAGATATACAACTGTACAGTGACCAGAGGAGAGGTGGGGAGGAGGGGAAACGGGGAGGAGGGGAGGAGGGATGAGGAGAAGAGGAAAAGGGAGAGGGACGAGGCAGGCGGGAGGTGGTCAGACACCGTCCGGCCCGAGGCCCTGATCCTGTCAACCCGCCTCCATAGTAACCGCTCGGGGTAGAACTGGACCTCACCCCTCACACACACACACCCTCACACAGACCCTCACACACACACAGACCCTCACACACACACACAGACCCTCACACACACACACAGACCCTCACACAGACCCTCACACACACACACACACCCTCACACAGGGAGAGAGACCCTCACACACAGACACCCTCACACACAGACCCTCACACACACACACACCCTCACACAGGGAGAGAGACCCTCACACACACACACCCTCACACAGACCCTCACACACACACACACCCTCACACAGGGAGAGACCCTCACACACACACAGACCCTCACACACACACACACACCCTCACATACACACCCTCACACAGGGAGAGAGACCCTCACACACAGACACCCTCACACAGACCCTCACACACACACACACCCTCACACAGACCCTCACACAGGGAGAGACCCTCACACACACACAGACCCTCACACACACACAGACCCTCACACACACACACACACACACAGACTCACGTGAAGACGAGGAACAAGGTTGTGGCTCCGACTAACAAGGTGGCGGCTGTGGACACCGGGATGTATTTGGTGGGTTTAAATCTCTTTCCACTTGGCATCCTGTAACCGCCACATAGTCTCGAGAGGAGGAGAGAGGGAGAGAGGGACGGGAGAAAAGGGAGAGGGGGAAGAAGGGGGAGGGAGGGAGTGTGAGAGGGAGTGTGGAGGGGGAGAGTGTGAGAGGGAGTGTGGAGGAGGGAGTGTGAGAGGCTGAGCTGAGGGCCGCGGCCTCTCTCTCTCTCTCTCTCTCTCAGGCAGAGGGACGGGGAGACACACGGAGCGCGAGCAATCCTCACACCCCCCCTCCCTGCCAGCCCTCAACAGGAAGTCCCGCCTCTCATCTGCACACCGTGACGCACACCGGAAACGCATGCGGGCGGCCAGGCTTCTGATTGGCGCTCACCTGGCTGGCCCGCCCCCCTGGGCCAAAGGCTGGGGGCGGGGCTGGGGAGGCTGGGGGCGGGGCTAGGGAGGCTGGGGGCGGGGCGTTAGGGTTTTGGGGCTGGGGGTTAGGGATTGGGTTTATAATAATAATACGGTGTTTGACAGGGTATTGATTATTGGTTAGGTTTAGGGTATTGATTATTGGGACGGGGTATTGATTATTGGTTAGGTTTAGGGTATTGATTATTGGGACAGGGTATTGATTATTGGTTAGGTTTAGGGTATTGATTATTGGGGTTGGGACGGGGTATTGATTATTGGTTAGGTTTAGGGTATTGATTATTGGGGTTGGGACGGGGTATTGAGCAGTGAGTTTGGGATAGGGTTTTCAGTGTTGACGTAAAATAAATAAATAATAATTTGGTCACTCAATCCAGTCCTGTTTGTGGGACGTTGCTGTGCGCCATATTTTGCACACAATACGCAGTCACTACAACAACAACAACTTGCAATTATATAGCACATCACCCCCCCCCCACAGGATAGCGCCCCAGAGAGCTCAAAGTCGCTGCACTTTACCTGTGAAGCACTTTGAAATGTTCCAGGGGCTTTATCAATGTCAGGACTATTAAATCACATTTGCAGTTTAATACCTTGAACTTCTCAATCCTCAGACTCCATGTCACTTACAACTGTGCTCCAGAGAGCAATCGGCTGCTACCATGGGTTTACACTGCATCCGAATCCAAATCCCTGATTGCCCAGTGCATTGGGATGTCCTCCCGTCGTGAAAGGCGCTATGCAAATGTACTTTGTTTTTGAAAATACTTTTGAGGTCTCTTATTGAAAAAATGCAGTTAGTACTGTATACCACAAATTCCCCTGTTGAAAACTTAATTGTGAAGAAACTTTCTTTCAAATTTGCATCCAAAACAATCATAAGGAACCAGTTTCGATATATATATATATGCACACACCCACACAAATTCTGCAAAATGTTATAAACACCCAATTGATTCATGGTGCACTTTAAAAATCAATTAAATGACTCTCCCCCCAGATTAACCAAACAGGGAAGCAATACCTGGAATTTTACTGTGAAAATCTTTTAATTAAAAACAGTCCCGTTGGGAAGAATATCTGTCAGTCAGTCCTTATGTATCAGGACAGAGTAAGACAGGCCAGTCAATTAGAAGGCTTAAGATGTAAAATCCTTGGCTTAAGGCAAAGCTGTTTCTTGGAACTTAAGATATACTGGAACCAAAGTACTTAAATCATGAAGGCATCGGAGCAAGCACACAATAATTCAGCGTGAGTAAATATCTAATAGTAGCAACAGCAAAGGGAGTTGGTCTCTGAGGTGGAGAACGTGTGTGGGATGCGCTGGGGATATAAGTGGGTCTAACTTGCAACCATTTTGCCTACAAAATACACAGTCAATTCACTTTACCAAAATATTCTGTAAAGCGCTTTGAGACGTCTCAAAGACATGATAAGACGCTATCAAATGCAAGGATTATTATTATTAATATTATCTCTAATGGCATTCCTTGATGTGGAAACCTGATTAAGGAAAACTGGCATGTGAGAGCTCGACTGCAACATGGATCAAGATGGAGTGAGGTTCCTGTCAGATTGCATGATGTGTGCCACTTTCCGTTTCCAAAACTGCCCACTCCTTATTGAGGAATCCCATTAAAAATCACCATCTATCAGACTCCATTGTTTGTGTTGTAACAAAGGACAAATGGTACTCACCAGTGATCTGAAACTACATTCATACAAATTAGTGACTTTAATCAAGTATGTGTGTGTCCGGAAACCCTTAGTGATATAAAACACAGCACTGCACACAAACCAACTTGCGAAACAATAAATTCTCTCCCATTTTAAAAATATATGTGAAAGTGTAAATGTTAATGGTTAAGAGGTAATAATAAGTAAAGTAATCCAGCAAATAATTTATAATGATACAACCTAGTCAAGTCCATTCACATCTTTCTTCTGTTCCTTTTTCTCTTTGTTCTTCACTCTAACTTCCTTTGCTTCTTCTGATGGCTGAAGATCTGAACAGAAACTGAAAAAGTGACTGGTGAGAAAGCAATTACTCAGCGGTGCTACCCTACTATTGCTATTGCTGATTATAAACTGCTCAGAGAGGGAGTTAGGCGGCAATCGCAGCTGTGAGAGATTAGAGCTGGAACACAAGGAGATCCAACAGAACCAGGGTAAAACCAATGTATGGCCAGAGAGATCAGAGTTGGGACAACAGACAACCCCATTGAACATAAAAAGAGACGTCTTTATTCACTGTACTCGATATTAACTGATCTGCGATTCCCAAAGGTTCTCATCTTTAAGACATTCTCCCTCCCTGAATAGCCCTGTATAAAAGTGCTGTCGCTGTCACATTTTGCCTTTCGGGTCATTCAAGCTACCCTTATACAATAATGCACTGAAACTGTGTATGGAATGGCAGGGCGTGGGTTCATCCTTTGCGATTCAATATGTGGAGAATTTCTGATCTCGGCTGGGATGTAAGGTAGAGCAAGCAACGTGTTTCCCCCCAGAGAGAGAGTCCAATTCTGTATTCACACACTTCCGAAGATTGGACTAAAGCCACTCACTGTGCTCTAGGTATGGGTCAGAGTACATTGCCTTTCCACTTGTTTAGTTGCGATATGCTGTGCACAGTGAGGCCTGAAGGAGAGAGAAATAATTTGGGGAGAGAAATTTGGATTAGGGATGGATTGTAAAGCAGGATAACAAACTGGGAATAGGACTCCGCATTTCTTTGAAACAGCAACAACAACAAAATTACATTTGCATAACGGCTTTCACAACAAAACCGCAATGGCAGGATAGCGAGAGAAAATACCATTTACAAAAACTGCGCAACCTTAAAATGGTTTGATTTCAGAGATCTTGGCAACAAGCATTCCTGTTTGAGTGAACACAAACTGTTTGTACAGGGTAAATATTTAATCCTAAAACGCAATTTGAATGGGTTTATCCATCTGTGGGTCTGTTTTGTGTTTTACGGAGGAATGACAGAGTCGTTTTTTCTAATCCATGCCATTGCTTTTAAGCAATCGCTAAACTAAATGGATCATGTATTTTCCAGGTTGCTGTTTAAAAATGTATCTGCAAGGACGATAGAGATATTATCGCAGGTGAAAACAGGACATAAATATATATGATGTATATTAAACGTAATAATAAATATTAGTGGTACATAAACATATGGAACAGCCTCCCTAGGGAGACGGTCGGTGGAAGCAGAAAGTATTGTTTGTTTCAAGAACAAATTAAATAGATTTCTGTTAGGAAATAATATCTGGGGATACAGGATATAGATTGGGACAGTCAAGCGACTGCTAGGATGGTAAAAGGAAAACTGGATGGACCGTGGTCTTCTTTCCCCAAGCAAATTCTTACATATGTATGTTCTTATGGCACAAGCGGAAAAAAGTCCAAAGAAATCAGTTCTGAGACACTGCCCCGTGTTGCGTGTAGGGTGCTATATAAATGCAAGTTGTTGTTATTAATGTATAGGCACTACATCAGCAGCAACGTTCATTACGTTATTTCCAACGTACATTTACAATATGCTTCTCGGTGGCAATTTTAAAAGGCAACCAATAATGAGCCATTCTGGGTGTGGACGCTTTTGGTGGTGACAATGACAACAGCTTGTGGAGGGTTAACACACTGCATTCTATCTAGGTTAATCATCCTTAAATGTCTGATGATAGGATTTGATCCAAAAGTTAATCCTTTTTGATGCCTCTTATAAATGCTGCTGTGTGCAAAGCCTGTCTAAGGCTCTTAGACCTGTCGTTCACCGGACAAAACCCTCCCAGCTTTGGCGTGAAGTGCCCCCGCCATGTTTTCAGCCCAGATCTCACCAGCTGGAAGCCAACAGGAAATATATGGACCTTTCCAGAGAGCTGACAGCAGAAAGATTGTAATATCTGATTTGTGAAACAGTGCTTGTAAGCATAACACTAAAATTCATCTTAATATTTGTCTTGTAGCACTGCTCAGCATAATAATAACCCGCTAACATCAATGTGGTATAAATGTACTCTCTCAGGATTTTACTAACTTACTCCTCGGTAAACAGTACGTGTGGAGTAAGTAGAAACCTGGTTGTTAGTCGATTGGTGGATCACTTTCTGGGGGTAATAATCCTTCAAAAATTAAATAAATGATAGTAATTTGGTCACTAAATCCACAATTGTTGGTGTGACATTTGCGAACAATTCACGGCCGCATTTTACCCACAAAATATACAGTCAATCCAATCCACTTTACAGCATATCCTGTGAAGCTCTTTGAGATGTCTCAACGACATGATAATAAATAATCCTTGCATTTGATATAGCGCTTTTCACGTCGGGAGGACGTCCCAAAGCGCTTCACAGAACACACTGTAAAGTGAATTGACTGTATATTTGTGGGCGAACGCGGCAGCCAATTGCGCACAGCAATGTCCCACAAACAGCCGTAGATTGAAAATGACCAATTTATTATTGTTTTTGGAGGTATTATTATTAGGCTCTGTGTGGAGTAAGGAAACTTGCCCGAGGTTTCGCCCTCTGCCTGGAATTGAACTCAGGTCTCTCACTTGCAAAGCGAGTGCTCTAACCACTGAGCTACAGGACTCCACATGATAAGACGCTATATCAAAAACAAGGATAATTACTATATGCATCCATAACCTGTATTGTCCAATGCCCCAATAACCAATGCTTGAGCAGACCAAGGTGGGGGTGCATTGGAAATCTGTTCTGAGATACACATTTGTGCTTAGAATATGCATGTGGATGACTGTGTGCAGCTCTGGTTACCGCAACATGTTGCTCAGTGGCCAGAGGCAGTGCAGCAAATTAGCTGCTCCCTGATGTTACAGCGCAAGTTAGGGGAACAACTAAATAAGATCAAACTCTCCGACCTTGAAAAGAGACGTCTCAGGAGGGACCTCATAGAGTAATATAGGTTGGAGAAAACTAGCTTTGTTCTGTAATAGGAGTAGAGCAAGGTGGGTTTTCAGGAAGATTTAAATTAATTAGGTCAAAGGTCTTTTTTCATTCAAACCTCTTGTGATCTAACATCAGGGATCTCCCTCTCTCTGTATATTTTGTGGGTTAAACCAACCGGATTGCACTACTTTTGAGTCACTGAGGTGAGAGTTGGATTTATTGGGCGCTATATCAAATGCAAGGATTATTATTATTGTTAAGCTGAGCAGGGCTAAAACATAAATATTGAAATGAATTTTACCCCAAAAGACAGCAATTTACTTAACAATAGATTCTTCATTGTTAAGACATCTTCAGCTTCAAGACATCTCAACGACGTGATAAAGCGCTATATCAAATGTAAGGATCATTATTATTGCTGATCCTACCTGTTATATTTATTCAACGAGAACAGAATCTGAGATGCTGTGTGACTTGATGCGATGAAAATGAGGTCAGGCCTTCAGAGAGGGTATGAATGGACATCTGTCACTTCCTCAGTCAGCGCAGCCCAGATTATAAACCTCTGTGGATAAAAACGGCAGATGTTGGTTCATCATCATTAATGTTAAATTACAGAAGCAAATTCCCTATTTGTGGAATCCTGTATCTCAGAGGTTAGCAGGTTCACCTCGCAAGCAGGGCGAAACCTTAGGCAAGTCTCCTTACTCCACACGTCTCTGTTTACCTAGGAGTGAGTAGGAACCTGGTCGTTAAGTCGATTGGCGGATCGCTTTCTGTGAGTAATAATCTCTTCACCAAAAATAGATATTTTTTATTTATCAAAAATAACAATAATAATTTGGTCACTCAATCCACCACTGTCGTGGGACACCGCTGTGTGCAATTGGCTGCCGTGTTTCATGCACAAAATACAATCCACTTTACAGTATATTCTGTGAAGCACTTTGAGATGTCTTAATGACGTGATAAGACATTAGATCAAATGCGAGGATTATTATTGTTAAAACTACCTCTGCACCATCAGTCCAGTTGATATGTTTTGCATCAAGGATTTGTGCTCCCTCTCGTGGTGAGTACAAATTACTACTGTATTCACAGCTCCGATTGATAATAATCCTCACATTTGATATAGCGCTTTTCACGTCTTCTCGACGTCTCAAAGCGCTTCACAGAACACACTGTAAAGTGAATTGACTGCATATTTGTGGGCAAAACGCGGCAGCCAATTGCGCACAGCAGCATCCCACAAACAGTTGTAGATTGAAAACGACCAATTTATTATTGTTTTTCTTGAGGGATTATTATTAGGCTCTGTGTGGAGTAAGGAAACTTGCCCAAGGTTTCACCCTCTGCCTGGAATCCAACCCAAGTTACTCGCTTGCAAAGCAAATGCTCTAACCACAGAGCTACAGGGCTCCACAATCCCAATTTGGTACTTTTTTTTTCCCCCCACCTTTTGCCAATAGTGTGAAATGAAGACATTAACATTTCCTTCCATTTCCAGAGGTCAGCTATAATATTGGTACCCGTTGAGATATACGAAAGAGGCTTGGAGCAAATCCCAACCTGGAACTGACAACCCAACCCATCAGACTGCATGTAAGGCTTCAACCCCCCACCCCACACAACAAAGTCCCTGCTGTGCCACTGTGGGTGAAGGGAAATGGAAAAAAAAATCTACAACCTGAACTCCCTTGAAAAGGGACCTGACAAAAGGGACTCGCTCCCAGATGCTACCCTGAGTGAAGGGCGCCATCTACATCAATGAAAGTCATTAGCTACCTTTCCTTAAATTCTACCCACAAGGAATCCAGAGGACACAGCAGCTACAATGGAGTTGGTATTTCATGGCAGTCGATCGAGGAATCGTTTTGCTTGTTGAGTTCACTGTAAATTCTGACTTTCCATTAAATAAGTGAATTAGAAAAAACACAATCAATGTAGCCTGGAACCTGCAAAAGCAACATCCAAAAGACTATCGCTGCTCCCTGACCCAAGACACTTACAAGGTGGTGAGGAGACAAGTAAACACCAGTCACGCACGACAAACAGCGTTAGAAAATCAGAAGAACATAAGAATTGCTAGACGAAAGAAGACCAAGGTCCATCGCCTTCGACTATCCTGGCAGGCGCTTGCACACGTTGTACCCCCAGATATATACTGTATCCCCAGATACACTTTCACTGTTCATTGAAAGAAGCACTGCGCATTCCAGCAGCAGAACAATGTGGTCGCCCGGAAAGAGAGGGAGAGAGAAAAACAAATGAAAACCAATGTTTTAGAGAAATGAAAATGGAAAATGACTTGCCCGTTTGCTCGTTGCAAAAAAAGTTTATTGCAAATTTCCTAACGAGAGTTACCAATTTTCAACAGTTCAATTTATTAGTTTCCCCATTACAAAACATTTAAGTAGATCAAGATGGTCTGTCCATTCCAACAGAAAACAAAGACTATACACAAATATAGTTGTGGTTTATAGCAAGCATATGCAAAACTTATCACAAATCTTCTCTCGAAAATTGAGCGAGCGACCTTTTCTCCCCTCCAGAAGCGACGTCAGGATAATTAGTTTTGTGATGATGACCATCGAAGCGAGTATCACACTGTGAGCAAGTCCCAGCAGCACCCTGTAGAGATTCACAAAGAGTCCACTAGAGACGTCAGTCAGTAACCAGCCCTTTTTACATGCATTATTCATTCACGCATCTTAAAAGCATCACAACCCATTCAGTTTAATTTCAAGAGTCAGGAATAGGATTTGACGCAACAATAGTGAATCTGCACAAATTAACATGGGGAGAAGCAGGGGGGAGGACTGAGAAAAAATGTCAGGTGAATGAATAGAACAGCAGAAAGTGTTGGTGCCAGCCTATCCCTGATGGTTTGCTCACAGGAATATCCGAATTAAATCAAGCCAATTTATATGCATTCTTTTGGTCCCTTCTTTTAAGATTTCAGGATAACACAATACGTATGCCTGAGATGAACTCGACGTGGAATCTTTGTGTAATATAGTCTGTCAGGTACTGACTTCAACAATCAAATGGGGAAAAACGAAAAAAAACAGAGCAAAAGTTTAAAAGAATTCTGAAATGCAACCTTCTAGCAATGGTACTGAACTCCCCCTAAAACAGGGACTTTGTATGGGGGGGGGGGGGTCGGGGCAAAAATAATAAAAAAAATTCTGCATACGCAGCTTAAATTGAATGGTTATTTACTAGTTTATAAACGATGTGCTACCCAATGTGGGAACTTTGACAATTCGAGTCTCGCGCACAGAAAAAATGCATTTCTTTTTAAAACAAGTCTGCTACTTTTGAACCCGGTTATTAATATTAAGTAGGTTGATTTTCAGGACGTCAAGGTTTAAATCGATCCCCCCTTCCAGACCGACTTGACGACGGTGAATAGATAAGGCAGTAAGTAGTTAACACGTCTAGAGGGTTCCCCAAGATATATGTGAGCACATTGATGTGGCTGATAATCTGGGGGGAAATGACTTTCTGTGAAAGTTGCTGTATCTTCATAACCGATTTGGGAACACAGGGCAAATGCTTAAAAAGGGACTCTCGTCTGTCTGTGTCCAAACTCAGTTCATTACAGTCTGCTGTAAAAAAACAAGAGGGAAACCGAGGCCAGGACGATTTAATTCTCTTCAGTTTTTTCACAGGTCTCCTCTTTCTTCTCGCTTTCTTCCTTTTTGGTGGGCTCTGCTTTCTTCTGCTCATCTTTGACAGATAGCTCCTCTAGTTGCTCGGCTACCTTGTTTGCGCTCACTTCGTTTTCACCTAACGGAGAGGAGAGATCTGAACGACAAAAAAAAAAGGAAAAAGGCTTCCATTAAAAGAGACAGTTTCTTTTACAGCACAGATATACATCGGCAGTCTTCTGGGTTGTATTCATTCCCAAAGGTCTAACTAAACCTTCCCTGGTCAAGAGATTCTTTGGAAATACCAGCGATGATAAAAGACATGCTATCCTCTTTACAGAGAGCATCCAAGAGTAGATACACACAACTGCAATGGTAAGACAAGGAAAGACCATAAAGGGAACACATTTCAAGGTCTTATATTCAGGGAAGTGGAATATATGAGAAAGGGAAAATGGTTTAATCTGTTCAAAATACTGTTCAACATTGCATCCAGTTTGTACATTCATTCTACAGAGGACATTTCAAGATCCTCTCAATCATCTTCAAATCCCTTCATGCTCTGGCACCTCCCTACCTCTCCAACCTGCTTACTCGCCAACCCACTTCCTCCGCTTGCCTGGCTCCAGCCTCCTGCTTATCCCTCATGCCCTCCACTCCACCATTGGTGACTGAAAGTCAGAATTAAAAAATACTCACCTTTTCCCTTCATCTTCTCTTTGCAGTCGTCAAACTTTGCCTTAAATTTCTGTGCATCTGAGAGAGAAATGAAAAGCAGTCAGTAAGTTGACAGGTTTATCTTCCTGTTGTGTGCCAACAGCGATGTGAAGCATGGAGCTGGACACCGTTTTTCTGAACACGTGTGTGCAGTGAATACGGAAGCACTAAAGGGTAATCAGCCCTTTCTAACACTTGGTAGGACTTTATGGGACCCCACTCCCAAAACGAGTACTATATCAGAGTTCCACTCTATAGACAGCTTGGCCACACATTCCCTTTGTAACTTCCACACAGCAAGTTTTATTTGAGACAAGTGGGGGCCAACTACAGCAAATTATTGATTGGCCAATGAAAAATCAAGTTTTTCAATTCACGTATCTCAAGTATGCCAGTATCTCAATTCACGTTTATGATCGTACCAGTTGAGAACTTACAATGAAAATGAACAGTTTGGCAGATACGATTGGTTTGCAACCGGAGATACTTACTTTCTTTATTCAGGAAGCGAATAGCCAAAAGCTCAGGTTTGGGTTCCTCATCAGCAAAATCAGCCGGTGCATTCCACACCCAGGCACGGTCACTCCCTACGTTGGGCCTCAACTCCATCGAAGGTGAAACTGAGAGAAAAACACAAACCAGTGATTTACTCGTCACACAGAAAGAAAACCACATCCTGTCAGAATCTCCACCAAAGTGCAAGGTCATAACCAACTCCACTCTCTCCATGTAAACCCTCGTCACAAAACAACTACACGTCTTTAGAACAAAGGTAATTCATAACTGGACTAGGTTAACAGGAAAGGGAGCTGAGGTCTGGACACTGAATGGCTTTCGATTAAATATAAAACAACGTACTGTAGTGATTTGCACAGATTTTGAGAGTTTTATCTCTCCTCATCAGAAGGCGGATGGTTCCTTTCTCCTTGTGCCGAAGCAGCTTCACATCACCGGTTCCTCGCTCTTTCCACTCGGGAGGATCGTTCTCTGACGCGTATCTAAAGAGTTTTGCACGCCTGACGAAACAAAGTCAAAAAGTTCATTTTTAGACTTATGTTTTTTTTAAAAAAACTCTTCCTTTCCTCATTCTCAGCACAACTTATCTAAAAAGTCAATTCAATTATACAAAACGCACAGCCCTGCACCTGAAACGTTTCATTGAAAAAGCAAAGGCAATGGTACACTTGCATGTTTCACATATAAAGCAAACTGTGACCAGATCTTATGAAAGTTCAGGCTGGACCCTCCTGGTTTAAACCAATGGCTGGACCTGGTCACATACAATACCCAAGTACTTACATTCTGAAAAGCTCCTCTTCATCTTCCTCCAATGTCTTCACCTCTTGTTCAGGAAGACAAACAATTGGCTCGAAGTGAGGATCGTGGTTGGAATCTTCAGCTGCAATTTCTAGGGAGGTTTCATGGTCCCCTGACTCCTAATAAAATAAAGAGTATTCAATTAGAAGAAGAATCAGTCAAGCCTGCTCCAATCTTTGCCCAACGTCTGTCCAGCTATAGCCTGATTATTTACCCATTCACAACCAAAGGTACAGGGGCCAACAGAAACATCCTCCTGCTGCGCAGGTTGAGACAAACTACCTCAGAAGCCAGTTGGTATTAATCTTCTTCTAGATAGTCAGTGATCTATGGAATGGGCCAATGGGGGACATCAAACAAGGACTATTCCAGCTAATATGGACACTCAATGCCAGAATTATGCTTTTTTTAAAAATTGGCTGTGAACCCATGCTGGTGTGTGAATCTTGGTGTGCAGGCATATCCTGTACTGTAATCCTGTTCTTCCCATCAGTGTAAACTTTCCTCTATCCACCATTTACACTCACTGCAACATTCAGAAAATTGATAACACTACAATATACAAAATAAATCTTCCAAGTGCACATCATATTTGAATAAAATTCAGAATGAATGAAAGAATTCAGACTCATTCTTTGTGTGGGGAGAAAACAAAGTTAACTTCAGTTACAATAATTAAATCCACCTGATCTGACTAAGCCATCGAACATATCAAAACATTGGTAAAAACGTCAAGGTTTTGATGTGTAGTGTTCCAGGTTCAGTGCTCAGTTTGCTTTGTGCAAATGCTGATCAGTCAGTACAAATGTGTTATACAGAGCCAAAAAAAAACTGATTTGTCAGCTTAAATGAGTGAATGGCATTCTAAATCACTGGTCAAAGACAACCTGAATGGAAGAATTAGAGAGCACATGTAATGCCAGCTCATCTCTTGTGTGGTTTAATGTCTGAACAGCTTGGACGCTGGTGCAAAACAAAATCACTGGACTAGAATTATATTACATTTATATTCAGGGGAAGGGAAGCGAGAGAGAGAAAATAGTGTGTTCACAAAGGAAGAAAATCTAATTGAAAAAACAACCCTTTACATTTTTACCACAGTATATGATTGTCACTCTCACCTCAAGTATACAATGAACAGATAGACATTACTCTGTCTAGTACTTCAACACTGATATCTTCATGGCTCATGTAAGTGAAAGTGTTTCGGAGTGGGATACATCTCCCCCCCATGAGATAAATTGGGCCGAAACCAGACAAGAAAGGCCATTTCACTCGAGATTCGTACAGGCATCAAACCCATCAAGCTGGGCAGGTATTAAACCCTCTCAGAGGTGAAAGAACCGCTCTAACCCACTATACCAACCAAACCCACTGCTACTAAATCGTTCCTGCTGGGAAAACAGACCAAAATGACCGAAAGAGCAACTTCCTAAAATTAAATTAAAATCTAATATTACTCACCGTTTTCCTAGATGAGAATTTCTAAGGCAGAAAGACAATATCACTGTTATCGATAAGAATAAATAAGAAAAGGGGAAAGTTCCCCTTGACCAGGTGGTATAATTTTGATTTTATAAACATCCCCAGATGTTGAGCCATTTAGCACAGGCTGCACCTGTGATAGGATACCGCTATCAGAGTCCACCTTGTCTATACATGAGGTATGCAGCTTTTACCTGTCCCGCAATATTGTCTGAACTTAGAACACATTTAATAACACAATAAGGTCAATTACATAGAAACAGGAATAGGCCATTCAGTCCTTTGAGCCTGTACTGCCATTTGATTTAGAGCATGGCTTATCTGTACCTCAATTCCAAATACCTGCCTTTGTCCCATATCCCTTGATTCCCGAACCTAACAGAAATCTATCCACATCGATCTTGAAAATCGGAATGGATCCAGCATCCACAGCCTTTTGAAGGAGAAAGTTCTAGATTTCTACTACCCTTGGTGTGAAAAGAGCTGTGGAAGTCAACTGTTTATTCACACAACTCCCTTTGGGACAGGGAAAAGCAGGCGATTCTGAGACAATTTCGCCCCCAAGCTTCAATGTTTAGCTTGTTTAGTCTAGTTTGCGTGAGCACGATGTATTGACGTTCTCCTTTTTACTCTTACAAAACACTTCAGTCACTTGCAGAGATTTACACACCCTGTGTATTTGAAATAAGAATTACTCCCCTTTCAGACTCATTGAGAATTTACATTAAGCTCTGTTGCATTGCAGATTGTATAAATAGGTGAAGAGTTTGTCCCTGCACTTGACATGATTACAGAGAAGGGTTACAACTGTGGGACACTGGAACAGACATGTGCCCTTTCTAGGAATCTGACATCCTTCATCCAAGCCTAGAAAATCCTGGTATCAGCAAATTTCACTCTGACGACATCAATGCAGACTGCTGGAATTGTATACATTATATAAGTACAGCTATCAACAAATTTTTTGTTCAAACGGTGTAAAATAAAGTGCTCCCGTTGTCCTCAATTTTATTGGTAATAACTTCCAACAACAACTTGCATTTATATAGCTCCCTCCACGCAGGGTAGCATCTCAGTGCGCTTAACAGTGGCGGAGCCTGACTAATATCTCAAATTAGATAACATGAAACATGTTATTGGTGTAATCTTTGCTTCCAAATCTGATCTGGGATAATATGGTAAACTGGCTTGTTGTGTCAGCTTATTGGAAATGTTTTCTTTACCAATTCTAATTTCCAAATGACACAGTGTGATTCCATCTGCTCTGGGAGGAGGGTGGGGGGGGGATAGCAATATTCATTAACCCCTTCCATTTCAGGATTGAAGCGTCCCTTTCTAAAACCTGAAGAATTAATGAAAGAGGAAATAGCAGGTTTCTGAAAATAAGAATAATCCTTGTATTTGATATATCACCTTATCACATCGTTGAGATGTCTCAAAGAGCTTCACAGAATATATTGTAAAGTGAACTGACTATATTTTGTGGGTGAAACGCGGCAGCCAATTGTGCACATCAGTGTCTCACAAACAGTCGTGGATTTTTGTGTCACATGGCGTGTGGGCTAAGGAAACTTGCCTAAGGGTTCGTCCTGCCCGGGGAGTTCCCCAAATAATTGGGATCTCTATGATAAATTTAATTAGAATTACCCCCACCCTCCAATACACACACACACAGAGAAAACTCGCTACCTCATCTTAAAAAAAAACTAAGCTCCTAAAAAAAAACCACGAGCTTCCTAGTTTAAAATTCATACCTAAACAATAAAAAAAACACATGAATACATTAAAAAGTCAAATTTGGGATATTAGCTGCGAACTAAGATGTTGACAAACCCCATTAACGCATATAGATATACAGGTAGTTATTTTTTTTAAAAGAGAGAAATGGTGTCGAACTCTAATTAATTAAGAAGTGAAGTACTTTATTACACCACGAGTCTGACACGAATATGAAACGACGTCCGTTATTTTCCAACTTCCAAAAGCCATCTTTTAAATGGCGACCTTTTATATCTCTCTCTCTTTTTTTAATATAAAAAAATAAACGAGAAAGAACAAAGCCCTGAGGCAGACACTACCTAATGTGTGTGTGTGTGTGTGTGAGTGTGTGTGAGTGAGTGCCAGGACACCACAGACCCCTTTCTCTCTCTCCCTCTCTGTCTGTGTGTGTGTGTGTGTGTGTCCCTCACACACACCCCTGTCTCAGTCTTGTGCGTCTGTGGGTGGAAAAACAAGTGGAAAATTTTCCTGGAGAGAGAAAAAAAATCTCCTCCCAAATCTAACCTGAGACACAGAGAGAGAGAGAGAGGGGAAAGAGAGAGGGAGAGAGAGAGAGAGGGAGGGGGAGAGAGAGAGAGAGGGGGGAGAGAGAGAGAGGGGAGAGAGAGAGAGGGGAGAGGGGGGGGAGAGAGAGGAGAGGGGGGGAGAGAGGGAGGGGGGGGGAGAGAGAGGGGAGAGGGGAGGGGGGAGAGAGGGAGGGAGGGGGGTGGAGAGGCTGAATGAAGCTTTCACTACAAACTAGGCCACCTCAGGACCTGGGGGTGAATTAGATTTTTTTTCTCTCTCTCCCCAATAACCAGCGGCCTGTGCGTGTGCATATATATATATATATATATATAGAGAGAGAGAGAGAGAGTGAAACAAAACGCTTTCAATCCCGAGCGTGTGTTAGAGCAGCTCCAGGTCCAGCCTCGCCCCTCGTTACCCATCTCCCCGCCGCAGGGCCGACCTGAGGGAGTCTCCATTCCACCTCCACGGGGTCTCGCTCCTTCCTTCCCTCCGTCCGTCCCTCCGCTTTCAGTCTCAAATATCTCCCCCCGGCGGCCGATACCGCTCACAAATAACCACCGAGAAAAATAGCCGAGGTGTTCATCTCCCGCCCGGCACCGATACTCACTCGCTCGTCTGCCATTTCAGGCGCTGATGGCTCCGGATTGCTGAGCCGCTCCTCTCACCGACCGACCGTCCGTCCGTCTCTCTCTCTCTCCCCTCCCGCCCGGCGCCGCCGCCGATGCTTTTCGCGCCAATCCAACATGGCCGCCCTAGCAACCGCCCGCCCTAGCAACCGCCCCCCCCTCCCCAGCCGCTGTTCCCCCCCCCCCACCCACCCCAGACCGGCCCCAAAACCGACTGCAGACGAAAAGGTTTTATTTTTTTATTATTTTCAACCATTGTAAATACATAAACACATTTACTATCTCTCTCCCTCTCCCCCCCCCCCCCCCCGCTCCTGCCCTTCCTCCCGGCATGCCCGGCTGTTAAGATGGCGGCGCCCACATGGTAGCAGAAGGAGCTTCTCCCAGTGACTGACTCCCTCCCTCTGTTCCATCAATTCTCTCTCTCTCACTGACTCTAACTCTTTCTCTCACCTCATCTCCGATTCTCTCTCTCTCTCTCCCTCTCTGTGTGTGTGTGTGTCTCTCTCTCTCCCTCCTGACGAGGCAGGTTAGTCCGAGGGGACTGTTTGACACCAGTTGGTGGGGTGAAGGGTGAAGGGGAGGGAAGGAAAATAAAACCATTTTATTTGGTGAGAGGTGAGAGGCACTTCATTGAATGAGCAGCTGGAGGTACCCCCCCCCCCCCAGGGCTGGTTCAGGCAGACGTTACAGATCCTCTCGGGAAAGAGAAATGTTTTTCCCTCCTCGCGTCTCTCAGGGCCCACCGTCCCTCAGGAGAAAGCCGGTGGTGCACTTCATGGCTGTCTGTGGGACACTGCTGTGTGCAGATTGGATGCTGTGATTGCCCCCAAACATTCAGCCATGATACTGCACTGTGAGTCCTATGAAGTGTTTGGAGGACGGCCCTCCTGAAACGAAAGGCACTGTTACCAGAAGTCAGGCTCGTTTCTCCTCTCTGTTTCCCTAATTCTGTTTTGGGAAACCCAATATGTGTGTTGGGGTTACGATGATGTTTAACCGAACAACAATCGTTGTCTGACAAACGTCCCCACTGCTTGTTGCACTCCAGCACTACCTCCCTGTTTGATAGGCCTCCAGAGCTACCAGGAACTGAGTCGGAAGAATTCCTGCTTTCAGTGACTGTTCTGCCCTTCCAAGTCCTGTCCACTAGCCAATTGCCATCAGCAGTGCCTTGGAGAACTGTGGACCCACCTGGCTAAGGAACTGGGTGACCAAGATCGCCACAGATCTTAAAAGCCTCTCCCGCCCAACATGCCCCAGTTCTGACAAAGGGTCGTGGCCCCGAAACGTTGACTCACTTTCCTTTAGATGCTGCCTGACCCGCTGAGCGTTCCCAGCGACTTCTGTTTTTGTTACAGATTGTTACCAAGCAAGTCACTTTGGAGCCAGCTCAGCTCCGAGGAGTCCCTGCTTAACACCCCCGCACCCCCAGGGGACAGTCACTAATTGGTCATTGTCATTTGACATCCAGCAATCTTAGGTTTGAGGTCTCAGTTGGCAAATTGCAATAGCATGAACATTAACAAGAGTATTGTATGTATTTTAGAATTAACAATGGCAGAAGAAAGCACTTGTAATACTGATACAACTCCTGGGGAGTTTGACAAAGAGAAAGAGACATCTGAGCCAACTAATCTTACACTGCCTGAGGAAAATGAAGATACCAGTGTCTCCGCTAAAGCACCAATGGAAGAGAACGAGTCCAGCAGCGACATCTATCGATATATCAAGGACGATCTCTTTACGTCTGAGATTTACAAGATTGAAATACAGAACCTTCCAAAATTTGTCAGCTTCAGCGACCTGAGGAAATTCCTCGCCCGGAACGGACTCAATCCTCACAAAATTAAACTGTTTGGGAAACGTCCTTTCGCATTTGTGACTTTTAAAATGGAGGAAGAACGAGACAAAGCCATGGAGGCTCTTCAGGGGCAGGTCTGGAAGAATCGAAGCCTAAACGTACGCTTAGCGAAACCAAAGGCCGACCCCATCGCCAAGAAACGGAAACAAGAAGGCGTGGAGAACGATGACCATGAGCAGAAGCGCATGGTCCCGGCCGAAGGCTTGGAAGAACCTTTGAGCAAACAGATTGCTGACGTGGTGACACCGCTGTGGAACGTTCCTTATGAGAAACAGTTGAAGACAAAAGAACAGAATGTCTTGCAAGTGCTGGGCGTCTTGACCAGGTAATGGGTGTTAGACTTTGAAATCACGTGCATACACATCAGAGAGAGATCTGAGAAATGAAATAATATAAATACAGTAAACTTCACTCACATAAGTTGCATCAGTTGGGACCATACATTTAATATGACTTGTGCAAGGTACGTTATGTCAAACTTGCATAGGATATAAACTCTTGAACGGGACTTGGGCAGATGTACGTCTTGGGCGATTATATGGTTTATACAGATCAGACGTATGGGAGTTTTACATATATATAGACACACAGAGAACTAAAGCTCTAGAAATGTCTTAAAAAAGGGAGAAATTTAAAGAACATGTGGAAACTTAAAAAAAGAACAAGTTATTGTGTCCAATTGTCACTGAATATTCTGAATGTCGTCTTCTTTTCAAACCCGATAGGGAAATAGGAAACAATAATAAAGCCTTTTTACCGTGGGTGTCTGAACAGAAGAAGAAACATGGTGACACCTGTTGCCCACTGCAGGGAGTGAAACCATCACCATTACAGGTATAATAGGGAGAGAGGATGTTATGCCAACTTAGCTAATTTATTTTACTGTTCTGTTATAACTGGTGTCAGTTAGCAGATCTCAGCCGGGCGATCTTCTGTCTCAGTGCCGAAATGAGCCAAGCTTCCCCTCCCTGGTCACTGTGCAGTGAATCTTTTCTCCCCCTTTGCTGCGCTTTTCTTATCCTTTCTTTCCAGCACATTGGGATGTCTTCCCGACGTGAAAGACGCTGTACAAATGTAATTTGTTGTGTTGTTTCTGGGTTGCCTGTGTGTGGGCACAAGGTGTGTGGACACTGAGTGTGATCAGCACCAGTTAGTTGTAAAGCTGTTTTTTCTCGACTTTGTGAGAGGAGAGAAAAAAACAATACAACACTCAACATTACGACAGAGTATATGTACATTTCACAATGACTAACTGTTTCCCAATCAGATTGTACTGGATTTGTTAGGTTTATAAATGAGAAGAATCAATGTGGTGTTTAATTTAGGGTCTTTATTGGGACCGAGTGGTTCTAGCTAATCTACGGCTAGATGGCGCCAGTGTAACGTACTGTATTTGGTTCAATGCTTTAAGCTCGTTTTCACAGCAGTTCTTACAGAAACATTAGGCTTCATTTTGTTGTGCTTTTTTTTTTCCTTCCTCTTGTTCTCACATCTGCCCCCCACATTTGTTGCCTTTGAGACGCAGCCTCACTTTGTTGAGCCACGGAGCTGCTGTTGTGGACAAACACCATCTACCTATTCCCAGTTTTGTGTCGTGACTGATTTTGTGTTTCAGACCGAATACCGTAACAAGTGCGAGTTTCTGATTGGTGTAGGAGCGAACGGAGAGGACAAGACAATAGGATGCCGTTTGGGTAAATACAAGGGAGGCTCATGTGCGGTAGTGGAACCGTTTGAAACGATTCACATTCCAGCTAAGATGAAGGCAGTTGTGAAGTCTTTTCAGGACTACATCAGGTTATTAAAACACTTCACTGTTTCGGTGCGATAAGGCGCTCTTATCAAATACAAGGATAATATGTAGAAGTGGCAAATATGTAGTATCAGACTCACCTGGTTTGCAACAAAACCACTGTGTGCATATGTATATTGTGTGTTTTTTCTCTCAATTTCTACTTCAAAAGTTGTCAGACTTTCTCAAAATTAAATTTTATGCTTGAATTTTAATATTAATAATCGTTGCATTTGATATAACGCCTTGTCACATCTTCAAGACATCGCAAAGTGCTTCACAGTGTAGAGTGAAGTGTAAAGTGTAGTGACTGTGCATTTTATGTTCTCTCCGCAGGTCGTCTCCTTATTGTGTGTACAGCCCAGAGACGTACGAAGGTCATTGGAAACAGCTGACTGTGCGCACCACTAGAGCCAATCAGATAATGGCAATAGTTTTCTTCAATCCACAGGTGAAGCAACAACAACAACAAATACATTTACATAGCACCTTCCACATCAGGAGAACATCCCCCTCCCAAAAGAAAAAGCAATAAGATTTTTGAGTTGAGATGTTTTCTCCGCCACACTGTAAATTAAAAGCAGCAGTAAAAAAAAACCTCAAGTGAAATTGAACTGAACAAAGGAATAGGAGGAGCCCATTCAGCCCGTCGAGCCTGTTCAGCCATTCTATAAGATCATGGCTGATCTGTGCCTCAACTCCAATTATCCGACCTTGCGCCATATCCCTTGACACCCTGAGCTGACAAAACAGACCCAGAAGGTCTGTGTGTTCCCAGTCTATCCCCTCCTCCACATCATTAAACAATTGCGGGCAGAATTTAGGTCAAGACGCATTTCTGAGGCTATCCATTCATTTTATTTGGTGAAGTTTCTGTTTTGCCAAAAAAAATACACCTACAATCCAATCTACAGTGATAAGGCGCTATTATCAAATGCAAGGATCATTATAACTATATATGTTTATAAGTAGAAACTAGGCAAACCGGAACAAGAGCAACTGCAAGGAGAACTGGCCAAGTACTTCACAGAGGGCAATGGGAAGGAATGTGGAGTTACCTCTCTCTATTTTGCACAGGAAGGCCAGAGGTAAGTCAACAGTGAGACAGATTCAGGAAACTCCGCCAATACAGACAATGAACTTTCATTACTGTCTGTGAAAAGCCATGTTTGATTATATTCTCTGGAGGTTTTTTTTTGGAGGGGGAGGGTTGGGGGGAGTGTAAAATCTCTGGAGAGTTGATGAAATCTATGGGGATAATTCTCCTGCCTGACTGCCCTGCACTCTCCTTCCCCACTCCACCCACAACCAAATCTGTAACATACCAACAATTTCAGACAGGAGGAGACCGAACGTCTGTGCAACTTGCCAGCAGATTCCTTTCTTTGCATCTATCTGTAAAAAGTAAAATCGCTTGTTCGCTTCACTGCTGTTTACAGCATGAGACGTAAATTGCCTGCCGTGTTCACCTACAGAATAGTCACTGGTTTGCAGTAAATTACATCAAATGCAAGTCCATTTGCTTTGTTATCAGTTAGTTACTTTGCGGCCTGAGATTTATAATTTTTTTTAATCTAACCTACTTAGGATGTATCCACTGTCAAGCTAAACATTTAGGAGATTTGACGTCTCGGCTCAGAATTAAGTTTTTTTTTTAAAAATCCCTTCACAGGAAATCGCCAAACTTGGAGGATCTGCCGCTAGACCACGTCACTGGGGACAAGTATATTTACGAGGAGTTGCTCGGCCTCAAGTTCAGAATCTCTCCTCACGCCTTTTTCCAGGTAAAGATATTTGGATTTATTTTTGTGCCCGAGGCAAAGGATGTCTGATACGCTTCCCGTTCAAACTCCCTGAATCCACGTCTACAGGGAGAATAGGGGTGGGAGGAGACTTCACCTGATTAATGAACTCTTCTTTCTCACATGTAATTGCTGTGTTCAGGTCAACACCCAGGCTGCAGAAGTGCTTTATTCAGCAGTTGGAGATTGGGCCGACCTGAATCAAGACACTGTGGTTCTCGATGTGTGTTGTGGCACTGGAACTATTGGCCTTTCCTTAGCAAAGGTAAGTGATTGTGTGGGAACATAAGTGGTAATGATGTCTAATGAAGTGTCCAGTCAGGATTCTCCCACTCCTTTCAAGTAAAATGACTGAAGTGAGGTGCTCCAAGTTGCAATGTCTCTCACTGTTGGTAGTTTTGAATAGATCGGTTTGTTTTTATTCAACAGTGATTTCTCTCCCAGATATTTTGAACATTACAGGTGCTGATTGAAATCTTTCTTTTGATTCCAGAAGCTCTGGCTTGTATTCTTCATTAAAAGTGTAATTAGGGAGTGAGTGATTATGATGTGTTGTGTGAGTGCTTAGACTTCCAAGCTTGGTTTATAACAGCTATTCAAAAGCGAGGAACTGTAATTATTTGAGGGTTCAGGGATATATTGAGATTGGATATTTTGTTGACTTCAGTATAATTTATTCTCTTGCTGCTCAGAGAGTGAAGAAAGTCATTGGGATTGAAATGTGTCAAGCAGCTGTGGAAGATGCCAAAGTGAATGCAGAATTGAATGGTTGGTAACTCATGTGTCCACAAAGATACAATTTACATTTGTCTATCCCTCCCCCTGTGGGAGTACATTAATTCAATTTATTCATTTAAGTGAGTTATTTTGCACTTCACTCTCCTGCTTGGACAAAAGAGCAAGATAGGTCAACCTGTGATTCCCTTATGGCATCAACAACTGTTTCAGATGCACAGAGCAGGTTCAATACGACGTAGGACTGACTACCTGCAAGGACAGTTTGGAATATCTTGCAAGCTCACCTCTTGGGGTGTGTCAGTAAATCAAAACTAAACCAATTTTTTTAAAAAAACATTGTAAACTTAAACCCAAAGCATGACCGTCCAATGCAATTTATCCTAAGTGTCACAATCCAATTTCACAGGGTGTCAGGAAGTTGGTTTAATTTGAATTAATCCGATTTCAGGATTTGTATTGAATTTATTTATCTTCCATTCAGGTATCACTAATGTAGAGTTCCTTTGTGGTAAAGCTGAAGATCTCTTCCCGACTGTGATCAACTCTGTGACCTCCCAGAACCTGGTCGCTGTTGTGGATCCTCCCAGGGCCGGGCTACGTAAGGGCTCATTTGATATTGAATGTTGGGATTTTGTCAGCTCAGCATTTTGTTTTATAAATAGGAAATTATTCCATCATCTACAACCCAAAACGCTGGAACACCCTCCCTCTATCCCTCCTTTCCTTGCCCCCTCCCCTTCCGCATCTTCAGATCAAGGCCTGAAGACGTTCCACTTGAACCGTGCCTAGTCACCTTCCCCCCGCCCCAGGCTCGGCGTCGGGCTCCACCGCTGTCGAGCGCTCTGGGAAGCTGCCCTGTGTCAGGCGCTGTGTAAATGCAAGTACTTGTTGTCAGTGATGGATGCTCCAAATGTTGACTCTTAATGTTGTATATTTTCCCCTTCCCCTCCACATGCAGACTCCAGAGTTGTGCTGGCATTAAGACGAGCGGAGCATCTGAAGAGTCTAATCTATCTGGCCTGCAACGCTCGAGCAGCTATGAGTAACTTTGTGGAGTAAGTAATATTTCAGCAGCGGTGACCTGATGCATTCCAGTAATCGTGTTGTAATAGAATTTTTTCTGCCTTGCAATAGTTTAAAAAAACAGGCACTGAACCTGTAAATAATCCAGATCAGCTCTGAACAAGGACTTTTTTCCCCACTTGTAATCAATAAATGTGATTGCTTACAAACGTATCCTGTACCAAAGTAAACTTTCAGCTTGAATATTCCCAAATTTTCTCTGTGCACTGGCTGTGTCATCCTAAGCTTCTCCACTGCAAGTCAAACAAGTCTTTGCTCCCCTCAAACAATCATCTGTATTACAGCAGAATTCACAGAAGATTAAATTAATATCATTTAACTGACGTTGGCAGTGGGGATTATTAATAGTTTAGAAAAAGATTGCTTTATTATTGTACTAATTGTTTGACATCTTCAGTTCTGTAGAACTGGTTATAATTCACATCCAAATAAATGGACTTGCAAAGTAATTACTGCTTAAAATGACTTCTGGCTGGCAGAACATTGCTCATTGTGCTTGCTGAACTAAACTTCAAGGGTAGGATTGTTAGTATCGAAATTGGCAAGAAATGCTGAACTCCAGCAAAAAAAAACACACCTTAAGGCTAATAAAAGTTTACATTCCCATTTTGTTTAGGATTTCATGTTCAGAACCATGAGGTTAACCATTGTCTTCACTTTCCCTCCAGCCTTTGCCGTGCCCCATCGCACAGGGTGAAGGGAGCTCCGTTCCGTCCAGTTAAAGCCATGGCTGTGGATCTTTTCCCCCACACCATGTATTATGACTTGTTAATATTATTTGAGCGAGTGGAAAAAGATCAGGATACATGAAGGAATTAAAGACAGAAAATGGGAAGTAATCGAATCGACTTGGAAGTGAAATTTTCACATACTTTGCCTGCTCTGTAGCAGTAGCCAGTAAGTATTTTATCCCATCACATTAAAAGTTCTTTCAGCTCCTACAACACATGTATAATTTTGTTTATCAAGTAATGTAATGTATGAAATGATAGTGATCAGGAAAATGTTCACAGTGTTCATAACACCTTACATATTCTGTACATTCCCAGCTTCTGAAGCCAAATAAACTTTGGTCAATACTTTAAATGTTGGCACTATTTACTGCATGTGAATCATTGTGCTGTTAAGATTTCTGGTTTGACAATAACTACACCATCATTGAAGCCTTTAGACTGTGACCCTTGTGTGCAGCAGAGCAAAAAGTACTCATTTATATATACCTCAAATCACCTGCTTTTTTAAACAAGTTACTTGTAAATCAACTTTCAAAATCTAACCCAGAGAAATGATCCAATCTGTTAATGGACACTGAAGAGGTTTTCAACCTGAACTTAGTTATTCTAAATTCATTAACTCATTCTCCTACCTTCCTCGCTTTTGTTCCCTCCAACATTGTAGTCTTTATTGGGTATCTAGATTCACATTCCACTGAGTTCCCACGACTCAATTTGTGGACCAGAACAGAGGTGCCGTAGTATCACCTCGTGGAGAGAACAACAACAAATAGCATTTACATAGTGCCTTTCCTGTCGGCAGGATGTCCTAAGGCGCTGGAGAAAGAAGGAAGCAGGGGGTGGGATCAGTTCTCCCTCCTCTTTCCTTCAGTTGACAAACTGACAGGTTCTGTTAATATCTTTCATATTGTCATCAATCCCAATGGTCCATGGGTTCAGGTGAAGCATTGACAAGTCAAAGCATCGGATTGACCATTGCAATGGAAAACAAGGTGCATCTTACACAATTTGCTCCATTAACCAATTTAAGATAAACAACAACTAATATTTGCACTGATTAAAAGAGGTGGGGGAGCAGTTTTATAATGAATTATCAAACTTTATTGCTTCAAACTACAGAGCAAAAAAAAACATCACACTCAAAGGAGGGCCCACACACGAGTATCCAGATGGTTGTGCAGCTGCAGCAAGCAGAGGCCAAAGGACATGTACACAAAGCCAAGAAGGAGCCACCAACACACACAGCAGTTGGTGTGGCAACCGCACACCATACACAATTAATTAGTGTGCATCACTTTTTTGCACTGCACGTTCTCTACTGAGACACCATAAGGACTTAAAACTCACAGCGCACAACGTGAACTTTGTAATTATGCATTTTTTTTTTAAAAGAAAAAATAGGTTCTCCCACACCCCAATCTCCACACCATTTGCAATATTACAATTGTGCAATTTAATTTTGTTGGGAAATTTGACAAATCATAAAACGTGCGCAGTAACACAACAGCTTCCACCTTGAAAATGTCACTATCTAAGGACTTCATTCCCTTTTGACAAACTGTCCAATTGAAAGACGTTAGCACTTCAATTTGAGATCCTTCACAGAAATTCAGTCACTGGAGAAGGATGTGTTAACTGAAAAGTAGTTTTGGTGACACACAGCTTATGATTTTAAGTGTAGACCACAGAATAAGATCATAAATCACTTAATGAAGCAACAAAATATCTGAGAACTACAAAGATAAACCAAGTCAGTGAAGCCTGATAAACTGTTTCTTTCTTGACTGAAATAAGTTTAAAATGGGAAGTTATAAGAAACTGGAAAGAGAGGAAAATAATCGAAAGGTTCTGAAAATCTCCACGATTGTTTGTAGCTACAATTAACCTCTGTAGAACTTTTGACTTTCATAAATGCTTTTACTAATCTCCTTAGCTCCAGGTCTGAATTTGTCAAAAGCTAATCTCCTACCCTGAAATGTCACACATCTAGAACAGCAGTAACTGCACATGGCTGTTACCTACGTTTAAAGCCAGGAAATTTTAGCAAGTTACATTTTTAACACAAGCAATGTTTCAAAGAGAAAATCAGTAGCATCTTAATTTCACCTTTTACAAACATTGTGAAACACCCGTACTGTTAGGTTTCTGTACCATTGCCAAAGGTAAGATGAGAGGGCCAGGTATATTTCACAAGAAGTTTGCCTTTCAAGCATTTAGAATTTAAAGCCTATCTCTCTCCAAACATTTATTAGTAATAATCCTTGCATTTGATATAGTCAAGTGCCTTATCGCGTCTTTGAGACCTCTCTCAAAGTGCTTCACAGAATAAACTGTAAAGTGTAGTGACTATATTTTGTGAGCGAATTGCGGCAGCCAATTGGCACAGCAGTGTCCCACAAACAGTCGTGGATTGAGTGACCAAATGATTATTTATTTTTTGAAGGGATTGTTGTATGAATGTTAAATGAATTTTTGTATCAGAATCCTGAAACAAACTGATTTGAGCAATTTAGCTCATTTCAGGCAAACTGGCTGCTCCTTCCTATACTGTAATTCCATTTACACAATGATGCAACTAAGATGCAAATAAGATGAAATGATCCACTGTGCCCAAATCCAAAGCTAAAACCCATAATCACATGAACAATAAGAGGTTTCCAATGAATCAAAAAAGGTAGTCAAATAATCCCTTACTTCATGATTACCTTCTTTCTATGCAGCAAAATTGGTTGATGGTTTAAATTTTTGGGAGGGAAAGAGACCCACACTGAATATAATGTACTATATCAAGTTACAATTGTACACACGCACACAACTATCAATGTTAAACATACAAAATGAATCAGGATTAAGGTAAGACAACTAGTTTTCGCTTCGTTCACACTCTTTAAGTTGATCAATACGCCGAGAATTAAAATTCTCAACACCAAAATCTGTACTCTATAATAATCGCAGCAGCACTTGTGCTTATGTGCAAAGGCAAGAAAAGTTGCATTCAACAGAGAAAAGTAGTAACACATTTAAAAAAAACACACCCAAAATAATTCACAAAATGACAGTGCACAGCAGTTTAAATATAAGTTTTTGTTCCAGCAGTTATTGCATTTTATTCTCTTTTTTTGTTTCCCCCTCTCTATGCCACTGAAGAAGCCTGCAGCAAGCATTTTTTTTTATTAAAAAAAGAAAGGTATTAGTTTGTCAGTTTGCATAAGACACTATTATTAAGCTTTGGTTCACATTACCAAGAGTGCACTGCAGTGAGTCATGGTACTTGGTTTCCTTCAGGTTGTTGGCCTGGTTTGATATTTGAGGTAAAACTAAGTTGTGATAAGGACGGCAACTTCCCAACACAAAGCAAGCGTAAGACAAGGAACTAATTCAAGCTTCGACAGTAAACTCTGGATTCCTCCACCCTGGCTTAGCCGGTCATTGCCACTGCAGTCGCCAGCCGTGCTGCCAATATCCCGGCTTCTTCCCAAGCAAAATGTTACTAAGGGGCTCACTTTACTGGTCACTCTGTTTAACAACTGACTAGTCGCAATCTAGAGATTCTTGTATGTATTGTAATTACAATGTAAAATTGATTGGGTGACTGGTCCTATATCTAAGATGCCTTGCACCGCCCTATCCTGTGACTGATGGGGACGGGAGTTAATGTCACGGCACTCCAAAAGAACAGAAGCCTCTGCAATCCATCCGAGCAACTTTTGTACCCAATCTCCGCGAGCACATCCAGCAGTCACAGCGCCCGCTTGTGGCCGAGGAGGACCTATGCGTAACTCGCCACTCCAGATAATTAGTCGCTGTGCCCCATTTCCCTTGGAAGCAATGTTATCCAGAGTTTACTGTATTTCATAAACTCCATATCTGTTCCTGGTAATAATTTAACAGTGGGCAGAGGAGCAGTATATCCTTACACCAAACTTGGTATTTATTTATATATTTTTTTTACTTCTAGCAGTGGCAGAAATCAAACCTGTTCATTTGCATCAATGATTTGTTCCAGCTAAAAAAAACAGTGGGCCAGACTACATTTAAAAATATAAAAATCAATGAATACTTACACAACCTTAATTATTATAATAAAGCACCTACTGTACTATAACCTCTCCCTCCCCCCAACAAAAAAAAATACTGACTAAAAGAAGATGCAACTGTTCAAACTGTCATGACCTGGCACTGAATGTAACATTGCGAAGCAGAACCAGAGAGAAAGACACAGAATGGCGACAATCCAGCTCCCTATACATTTCCACAGCTGAACGTCAGTTTGGCACTGGTTACCAGACGCTGTACCTATCGCCACACAAAGAAATACATATTCCTATTTATCTGCCGGACGACAACAACAGAACTTTAGAGTAAGACAAATACTGCAAGCTCTTCAACAGGATTCTTGTAGTCTCAGCGTGCATAATTTTTTTTAAAAAAAAACGAAAGAGGATCCACAGTTTCCGTCCACTGACGGATAAAAATTATGCACATTGACAGTGTCCTTAAATCAGTCACACCACAGGTACGACAGTGTATTTAAAAGCCATTGTGTGTTCACGTATTAAGAGACCATGATAGTTAGTGTTTCGCTTGACAATTTACGAGCGATTCAGTTTACCAGCGTATATAATTGAACGGTTCAGTCAAACGCCAGTATCTCAGCTCTCAATTCAAAAATGATGTGGCCTGCCCACTTCACAGGATCTCCGCAATACAAACACCACACGTTTCTCCACTGACGGCTAACTAAAGTACCACTTCATCAAAACAGAGATTACTGATAAAGTTCCATGATAAACTGAGTTAAAAATCAGTACACAAAAGTAAATGCTCATTTTCAGAAGAAATAACTTAAAAGACTGTGACCATTGAAAGCACTCCCCACTGGCACTATCTCACACGTAAACAATGAAAAGTAGAACTCAACATCTTCCAGCAAGTCGCCCTTACACGGCAATAGGATTTCATTGAAACACAGATCAGTGCACAATGACATCCTAAACTACTGTTCCAAAGCTGGCCAAATATGAGCAGAAATCATTATCAACCCATTAAATCTACTTTGAAGTTGAATTGATAGATCCATTTAAAATTTGCACACAGGTCTAGGAGGAGGGGGCAGAACATCCATAAGAATTCTCAATCTACCTTCAGCCTTAATTCTTTAAAATATATCATTTCCCGTTGGAGGTAAAGTTTGGAGTTCAATAGTATTGCCCATTATTGTTGTAATGCAAAACACTAATGCATAATCAAGAGTAATTGGAGGAGGCTGTGCGTGTGTGTCTGCCTGTGTGTGAATGTGTGTTTGTGTGTGTCTGGAGGGTAAGGATGGTGGGTTAAAAAGTGTTTGCATTTTGCAGCGTAACATGTTCTTTCTCAGTGAGAAGGTAAAGATAATAGTTGAGATGGAGTTTCTCCAGTACATTATTGCTCTCCCGGTTTGCAGTGCTTTTACACGTCAACAGTACAGAGAGGTTCGCTGCCCGGCTGGGCCGATTCCATGATCGTCATCTTCGGCTTCTTGCGAGTTTCCTCCTTTTAAAAAAAAGAGTAAGTTAAAGGAAAATATCATATTAAGAATCTAAATCTACAAGATGTATATAAAAAAAACTAACATCACAACAGAAATGGAAATTTAATAATAATAATTGCATGTGATGCAGCGCCTTATCACGATGTTGAGACATCTCAAAGCACTTTGATGGACTGTATATGTTGTGGGCAAAATTTGTTACATTTTGGTCTGTGTTGGCTGGTGTACACAGGTCAATATTATAGTTTAACTATTAAACTAATAATAGAATAATCCTTGCATTTTATATAGCACCTTGTCACGTCGTTGAGACGTCTCAAAGCGCTTCACAGAATATACTGTGAAGTGAATCGATGGTATATTTTGTGGACGAAACCTTCGCAGCCTTACCCTGTCCCGCGCCAGTTTCTTCATCTCGTCTCTCAGCTTGTTCAGAATGTGCAGGTTCGGCTTGTTCTTTTTGGCAAACTGCTGTAGCTCAATCACACTTTTATCAGACATTTCCTGCACAGTGTTTAAAAAAGTAAAATACACACATTTGAAAGAGAAAGGAGAAAGACATGCAAAAGTCTGATGCATTTTGGGGGGGTGGGGGTGGGAAGTGAAAGAGAAAGAGCTGTGCAGAATTTACCAAGCTCTGGTTTTCTCATCCACTGATGGGGAACCCGGGTTTAACCCTATTGATTGAAGTGGTGTTGCAATAGTAATCCTGCTGTAATAATTAATAATCCTTGCATTTGATATCGGTCTTTATCACGTCTCTTCAAGACGTCTCAAAGCGCTTCACAGGATATACTATAAAGTGAATTGACTGTATATTTGTGGGCGAAATGTGGCAGCCAATTGCGCACAGCAGCGTCCCACAAACGGTCGTGGATTGAGTGAATATTTTCATTTTTTAATATTTTAGTTTTTTAAAAATTGGTCCATGTGAGTGTGGGGTGAAGGAGGAGTTATTCCCCTCAAAAAGATGGCCTCATTCCCACAACTCCAAGCTTTACATCAACCACAGACAGCATGTGTGAGCAAGCTTCCTCAGAAACATGACCAGCTCCCCATGTTAGTTTACCTGTTTGACCAGTTTATTGCTTTCCCTGCCATACATGCGTAGAAGTGACCCCCAGTTCTTCACATGAGGATGTAATAACTGTAGGATTTTCTGTGATGCCAGCTGCTTCCCCACTCGTTTGTTCTTACCTGAAAAATTAATGTATTTTGTACGACAGTGTTTTAAAAGTGCTGACATGTTACCCCTTTCTTTTCCAGATAGGCAGATTAATATTAATAATCCTTGCATTATATAGCACCTTATGTCGCGAAGACGTGATAAGGCGCTATATCAAATCCAACGATTATTATTATGAGTGGATTGACTGTATATTTTGAACGACAAATGTACACATTGGTCTGTGACCATGAAAGCAAAATTAGATTCTAATGCTGTACAAATACAGTAATCCACAAATACTCAAAAGGGACCAATAGATTGGGAACTGTAACTCACGAGACTTTAGCTGTTACACTGCCACAATCCACCACAGAAATGTTATATGTAACTGACAGAAGGAAAGGCAATTAGAATAAACGTTCCCCAACAGCAAGTAAAAGGGAAAGTAAAGCAACGATTGCGCCTGGGTACCATTTACAGATTAACTTGTTATGGTAGGATTCAGCCTCTAATTGCTTTTGAAGAACAATGAATATGCTGCTAAAACCACAGTCTAAATTCCAGGACAATTATCTTTTATAATTGGAGTAAAACTATATTATCATGAGAGGTATAGATTTCCCCTCGTATGTCAATTCTTCCAGGTCACCGGCCAAAAACATAAATAAATAACAACTATTTGCATTTACACAGCGCCCCTCAGGCAGGATAGCGCCCCAGAGCGTTCGACAGTGGCAGAGCACAATGCCGTACATCAAATAAAAGCAAGGCGTCAGGAACACTTCCCATTTGTATGACAATTGCCCCTCAGAGAGATGGCATTATTACAACAACTTCCCACAATGATTTTGCTGAAAACCAGGATGAGTCTATCACTCCCTGCAATGCTGCTCTGGTTTCCCGCAGTATCTTGCAGCAGTGTTCATGCTATTGATTGATTACCCTCTGCTTGGCAATGATCGACACAATAGGAAACAAATACCTTCAGAATCACTGGGATATTACCAGTCATTTAAAGCTGACTTACTTTCAATATGCTCTTCCGCTTCGCCTCACCCTCTGTTTATATTAATTTTTGAAGATGTTGTAACTTAAGAGAGTTAGAAGGTTACAGCTGAGTGATTACAGCATTCATTAATAACAACAACTTGCACTTAAACAGCGCCCCTCACGCTTAGTAGGGTTCCAGACAGTGGCGAGCACGACGCCGAGCCAAGGGGAGGGGGGATGTAACCCTACATGGTCGAAGAGGAAGGTCTGAAGGACGACATGAACTACAAAAGTTCAACAATTTGAAGACAATATAGAGAATAATTGACATGTTTCACACATTGACAAGACAAAGGAAAACTTACACCAGCCTCTGACTGTGTGTTTGCCACAGGTCATGACGTATTCGCTTTTCTGGTTTTTACCAGGAATGACCTCAAACTTGATGGTGGTGTCACCCATTCCATGGTTTCTGAAAACAAAGTCAATCCAGCATTAACCGTCACGGTAACAGACTTTCGATTTAATAACATGGACCTCACAAAAGAATATAAACTGTATCCAACATCTCCTCCAACAGAACTCAAATGAAAGCCAGTAATACAGTACACAGGATTTTAAGTTGTTCCAAATTTCCAATTAGAATGTCGCGTTCTACACATATAAAGTAGGTAGTGACAGAGAAACTATTTCCTCTGGAGTGTGGGGGAATCCAGAACAAGGGGGCATCATCTTAAAATTAGAGTCCAAATTTTTTTTGGGTTGCAAAGGCTGGTGGAAATCTGGAACTCTCTCTCTCCCCCAAAAGGCTGTGGATTATGGCTGGATCCATTCACATTTTCAAGTCTGATTGTGGGTAGATGTTTGTCAGGTCAGGGGATCAAATGATATGGGGCAATGGTGGATAATTGGAGTTGAGGTACAGATCAGCCATGAACTAATAGAATGTTGGAACAGGCTCGACGGGCTGAATGGCCTCCTCCTGTTCCTAAAGTCCTAAACAGCTGAAGTCATAAAGCTGCTTCCAGCCAGCAGGCGATCCTATGGACTTACCTTTTAAGGCACTCATGGAGAATTTGATACGGTGACAACAGTCCAGCCTTATTGGTCAATTCATATACCCGCGAGTCCTCAATACTGATGTGGTTGAAGTACTAAAACACAAAAGAGGGCCATCAGCAATGCAGAAAACTAAATCACAAGTTTTTTTCTGATAATCGCTCGCCTTTTGAAACAACAAATGCAGCGAATTACAACTGAGCAGAAACACAGCAATCAATACGTTTGGTGATGTGACCACCAGATGGCATTGGCGATTCATGTCTATCGAGCAAAACAAATGCGAGACAAAGAGACCAGAATTAAACACCCACCAATACACAATACACTGCAGGGCTGTAATTATCAAAGCATTCAGCACCACTATGGAACAAACAGCACTTTTTGACAACTATTTGCATAGCAGAACCTTTACTGACATTTGCCCTCTAATGGTTTTATCACTTCATTTGTACGAATGTCAACCAAACAAGACAGACCTTTTTACATACAACAACTAATGCATTTCCTGCTCGACAGCAACACAAGCACTCGCCCTGTTGCACCGTCACTTCACCATCTCTGAACCGAAGACAGCAAAGCAACGGGAATATAGGACACATTTTAAAACAGAATATGGGAGCAATTCACGTCTACGTCAGTGAAGAAAACAAGGGTGTGACTGGCAAAGGTTTGCCCACTCTGTCGTGCTCCAAGGCAGTCATATGAATTATGCAATGCTGCATACGAGCACTTGATTTGCTTTAGAACACAAATGTGCTAATGAGAATAATTTTCTGAAATTGTAAAGTAAGTTGCAATAACTGGCATTTGTGCCTCACAGACAGCAGCACTGCCTTCCTTCAGAGGGTCTGACATAAATTAAATAAAGGCATCTCAATGGTAATGCTGCTGTCAAACCTCTCTATATGCAAAACAACCAGCCTCGTTGTTTGTGCATTACAGTGAAATTCTGATAACTGGCTCCTGGGATAAGTAGTCACTCCCTCAATATCCTGACTATGCAAAGTACTTTCTGATACTGTGGCGTGGTTAACTAGTCACCTCTGATAGGTAATCATTCGATCTATTTGGGGTCGATGAGTTATCAGCGTTTCACTGTATATACTTGGTATCAACATCACCTCAGCTTAACAAACATTAAAAGATCTGGGTTACTTATTAAATCATTCAAAGCTACTCTGTTACTATGGCAGTCCATTAATGTCCCAGTTTCCTATTAGCAAAGTTAAATGACAAGGGAATAGTGTGCGCCTGTTGGCGGGGGGGGGGGTCACAGGAGTCCTAGATCACAGTACTTTCTCTTTTCCCTCCCACACCACCACCAACTGTATCAGAAATTATGTTATTTTGAAATTCCTTGATTTACTGAGACCTAGTAAATTACTGTTCTGGCTTTTGTCCCACTTCAGGCTACTCGAATCACAGCAGGTTGAGAGGAAGACCCCGGTCGATGAACATAAGCTCCATTAGTTTCAACTGATGGCCAACACTGCGGACAGGCCTGGGAGTCGATTCAAAACCGATTGTTCCAGGGGTCCGATCTACCTACTCAAAGCAGTTCACAGACTGGTGCTGTTCCTCCAGGTTCAGGCAGCTTTGCATCTGCTCCCAAGCCAGTCGATGTGCTGAACCTCAGGAAAGTAAACACTCCCGGACATACCCAGTTCTTCCCTATCAACGGCAGCAGAGCGGGCGAACAGGAACCGAAAATGATAGGATTTATACCTGCAGTGTTCTGTCTGATGTAAAGATTTTCCCTTTTAAATAAAAGTAATTGGCAATTAGTTATAACACTTCCATAAGTTATGCACTGTATATTTTGTGAGTGAAACACAGCAGCCAACTGTGCACAGCAGTGTCCCACAGACATTTGTGGATTGAGTGACCAAATTATCCTTATTTATTTATTTATTGAAGGGATTATTACCTCCGGAAAGCAATCCACCAATCGACAAACAACCAGGTTTCTGCTTACTACTAGGTAAACAGAGGCTTGAGGAGTAAGAAAACTGGCCCTCACAGGAATCGAACCCAGGTTCTCTCGCTCGCGAGGTGATTGCTCTAACCACTACACTACAGGACTCTACGATGTACCCAGACTCTTGTGCCACACGTGGCCACGCTCCACAGCCCTCCCAATTCACCCCCTTCGCACTCAAGCTCTTTACACATCCTGAAAAACAACCCAAAACATGCCCAGCATTTCCAAAACAACATTTGCTATTCTTCAGGTGTTGACATTTCAGAAGAGTGCTGAACGGTGGTGGCACATAATCAGGCAGATGGAGACAAGAGACCTGACTAACTACAAAGGAAAACTTCAAACACTCCCAATAAAACACATCAAACAGCATTCACCCGCTAATCAAGGGATTTACTGAAACTCTTGCGTGCCTTTATAACAAGATTACTCCCTCGGACTAGGTAGTTCAATTTACCTAAAGCTGATGGAGTTTCTAAATACAATACAGAGAGAACCATGAATGACGACAGCAATTACTCCAGACTTTACAGCCTTGAAAAGCAGCACTTGACAGTGTGTGTTAACAGATTCTTACTTTTTATTCACAAGTTGCAAGACATCACTCGAGAAGATAAAAATCAAACATCATTTGCGGCATTGAATTTGGTCTATACAGACCCCCAGCACTGCGTGCAATATTAATAATATTAGTACTATATTGTACGCAACTTGTGAAAATCTGCTCCTTCTTTCATCTCAGGAGTGATGGGAGTAGAAGATGATGAAGACTACTTTTACTAAAAATCAGTTATTTGAGATTAAGACTGATATAACCTAAATAATAAACAATCTCACTGAAGTATACAAAAAACTACAGAAACTGCTTGCCCTTTTATCAAGCAGTAGGAGAGAAAGATTTCCTCTCCACCCCCCAGTGTCCATCACCAGGTTCCTAAACCAAGGAAAGCAATCTACAGGTGTTATCAGGACAAACCACACTTAATGCTTCACATGAGAGAAACACACATAAAAAGGGCAAAGCGCAAGAACAAGAAAGAGAGGAACAAATGTAACACCATCACCACTCACCTCTAGTTCATCAGTGTCTTTGGGCTTCTCATCAGAGGTTTGTTTGACAAAGTCAGGAATGAGGATTTCCAGAGTGGCACGAGCTGAGAAAACAGACATTACATATTTTAACTGAAATTTTACACTGGGGTTGTGTCAACAATGCAATAACAAAATTACATTTGTAAAGCAGCTTTCGGGGAGAGGACGTCCCAAAGCGCTGAACACTCAGGGATCAGGACTCAAGCGTGGGAGGGAGGGGTCAGGGTTGGGATGAGGGAGGGTAGAGAAGCAGAGAGCGGCTGAAGACACGGCTGAAAAGGAGAGCCTTGAGTCGTGCCTTGAAAGCAACTACAATCTTCCACATTGTAACCATTTAGATAACAAGATCATCTCATTATGAAAGAGCAAAGTTTGTGTGTAGTTAATGGAGACGCAACACAAATTTAAGTTAAAATAAAGAGCAGTAAATACCAGCTTTATTCTTGGCAAGTTTTTTGCTGCTGGCGGTTCCTGTACCGTATGTCACTCCGTCAATAACGACTGAGGCACCGAAAGGCTCACTGGGATTTTCTGAAATAAAAATAATAATCCTTGCATTTGATAAAGCGTCTTATCACGTCTTCGAGACATCTCAAAGCGTTTCACAGAATACACTGTAAAGAGGATTGACTGTGTATTTTGTGGGTGATAAAAAATTCACGTCTGCATGAAAGAAAACATCAACCAAAATAAATAACACTTTGTAGAATCTAAAAAGCATAAAACTAAGACAACTATTTTGTTAAGGCTTGTGATGAAGAATGTTTCAGCAATTCTGCTCTTTGGGGATATCTTCAGATTACAATTTCTAAAACAAATTGTGTAAAATGTAAGAAAACAAAGAGTTTAGGCATATTTATAACAACCATCACACTTCGATATTGGACACTGAATGTCTCAAAACACTTCAAAGTTTACCACAAAGTGCTGTGACCATTTGTAGGCAAACCCAACAGCTAATTATGAGTACAGCAATGTGTCAAACAGCCATAAAGCGAATGGCCAATTTTTTAAATTGTTGACCAGGACACAGGGAGAAACTCTCTAGAAATAAAGAGATTGTGGTAAAATCTTACAAAAAAGTTACTTAAAACAATGTATTTGATTCCATTCTGCAAAGTTGTGCTGATAATAACAATCCTTGCATTTGATATAGCGCTTTTCACGTCTTATGTCTCAAAGCGCTTCACAGAATAATAATAATAATCCTTGCATTTGATATAGCGCTTTTCACGTCGGCAGGACGTCCCAAAGCGTTTCACAGAATACACTGTAAAGTGAGTTGACTGTATATTTGTGGGTGAAACGCGGCAGCCAATTGCACACAGCAGCGTCCCCACAAACAGTCGTGGATTGAAGCGACCAATTCATTATTTTTTTCTTGAGGAATTATTATGAGGCGTGTGGAGTAAAGAAATTTGCCCAAGGTTTCACCACGCTGGGAATCAAACCCAGGTCTCTCGCTTGAGAGGCGAATGCTCTAACCACTGAGCTACAGGACTCCACAAATATTCTAAGGAATTCTAAAATAGGCACAAAAAAAGATCTTTTCTCTATCCCAAAAGTCGATGAACGCACCTCTGATAACTCAGCACTCACTGGACATTTCACTAGAGTCTAGTCTAGACTATTAATCTCAAGACCCAATATTGGGCTTTGAGCTCACATCCTTCTAACCCAGAAGTGAGGGAGGAGCAATTCCAACTGAGCCACACTGACATCCCAAAATACTAGAAAATCAGCACCATTTAAACATTCCATTAACCAAAGCAGTTGTTTTCTTTAAAATAGGCAAGACACGTTAAATGTTGTTTAAATGATGTTGGCTCTACAGCAAAACTCCCCCTTCACATGAGTTGAAGACAGCAGTTGGACGCTGAAAAGAAGACCGCAAAGGGTCTATCACGCCAACAACAACAACTTACATTTACACAATGCCTTTCATGTCAGGAGGACGTCTCAAGGTGCTGGACAGTCAAGGACTTGCACCAAAAGGACCAATTAGGCTACTTTGCAAACAAGTCACACTGGGGAGGCTGATAATTAAATCAGTCTTTGAGAACACAGCAGTCATGGTTACCTCCTCTCCCCGTTAAAGGTGGAGAATATTTGAATATTCTTACGCTCATTAAAAAAATACACTTACCACATTCAAAAAAATTGTAAACAGGGCGAACCTTTAGGACCCGTTGCATATATTCGTGCAGTATGCAAACTTCTGATTTTCCATTTGGATTAATGACAAATTCTAAATACAAAACGAAAACACGTGAAATCAGAAAATGTCTGGCATGAGTGGTTTGGGACCTTTTTGCAACTTGTTCTCAAGATATTAACATTTTATTAACTGCAATACAACACCAAGATTAAGGGTACATTAATCAATTATATTGTGAAACAAATCACACAATTGATAAATGGCTTCAACCCATCCTATTAAATTTCCATTAAAATGGCTCATCCAGTAATGATGATTAATAAAACGTATAAAAACAGTAAAAATGCTATTTCTTCTCTAATTTCTAAAGGTTCATTGTTAGTTTGTCTTTTTAATGAACTTCAATTCCCAACTGATCAGTTAAGGTCATTCTGTACATATTCTGTAACAACTCTTGAAAGCTTACACTCTTACACTCACACTGTGAATTATTGCTAGTCGCCTGCACAAACCACAGGCAATGGGTAGAAAACACAAAGCATCATCATTGCAAACCTCAGTATTCTGCATTTGGCCTTTGAGCCAAACACTATTTTGTTTTTTTTAAAACTCAGACCTTTATTTATTCCCTCTTTGTATCTCTCTGGAATTATAGCACGCGACAATTTGCACAAACTCTCCGGAGGGAAAGGCAAGGGATCTGGAAGGGCCATCGACGTCACCCAAACAGCAGCCAATGTGATCATTCGCACACTGAGTGTAAGCCGAGCCAGTACGTTCCGAAAAGGAAAGGAATTAACAGGCTGATTTGAGTCACTCTCAAACAACAGCTCTCAGCTGCTTGCTGCTTTGAAAGAGGAATTGTTTGGGGACGCAGGAATAAGCTGCTGGCCTGTTTCCCACCATTTCTCTCTCCGTGTTTCCTCCCAAGAAGAAAACGTTACCTAACATTTGGACGGGGATAGAAGCTAACATTCCACTGGCCCCAAACCCAGCTGATGACTAACTATCTTCTTTCTGTTGGCTATTTATATTGGCATATTGTGGTGTTGAAGGCACAGTTCTCATTTGGCTCAGACTCCTGTGCTCTTCTGTTCATTTCTGTAATTGAATTTGGAAGGGATCAGCAGTGCTCAGTGACACTGATTACAGGTCTCAACATTGGCAGTTTATGCATCCACTTCACAATCAGTGGGTCTTTTAAAGAAAATCTCAATAGATTCTAGATTAAAGCAATACTTTGCAGAGAGTTTTAAAAAGACTGTGCTTGCGAGTCTAAAATCCAATTACTGTTTCTAATAGGAACGTTAAGCTGAACACTAAATTAAAATGAAATCTTATTTAAACAATGCGTTGTTTTCCCCGCTGACAGTCAGTCCCCTGGAGATTCCTTTCCAGTGCAGAGGATTTACACTTAAAGAAGGATCAAGGATTACAATAATGAAAGAATCATCAACTAATTCGTAAGTTCTGAGTAGCACAGTAAATTTACATTATCAATGTGACCAGATTCAATTACAAACTACAGTAATCAAACATAAAAAGCATATTAATAATAATAATCCTTGCATTTGATACAGGCGCCTTATCACATCTTCAAGATGTCTCAAAAAGCTTCACAGGATACACTCTAAAAGTGAATTGACAGTCGTGCATTGAGTGAGCAAATTATTATTTATTATTATTTATTGTGGAGTAAGGAAAATTGCCTAAGGTTTCGCCATGACCAGGAGTCAAACCTAGGTCCTCTCGCTTGCGAGGCGAGTGCTCAAACCACTATGCTACAAGACTCCACTAATTTTATTTTAATCTTATTCTCCCCCAACCCCAAAAAGCACTTGCATGGTCTTTCAACCAAGCATAACTCAGGTACATTGAGCTTCACTGAAGGACAGACTGTCTTCCCTCTGGTTCTCTCACTGAGCTGTCAGCAGAAATTTGATGTCGCCAAACTTGAAGTTGGTTTCTTTAAAACAAGGTCCCAATGACTTCTGATCAATTTGCGGTTATCCCCAGGAAAATAGCCTCAATAGCTAGGTTTAAACTACACTATAAACAAATAGCTTCTAAGGTTATACTGCTATCTACAGCAGTTTAATAAAAACTTCATCGATTCAGTACACTGTCAAATAAAAGCCAGACCTTTAAATAGGAGAACAAAAGTGCCCAGTTCCCCAATGGTATTTATAAAATTACTAGAACTGCCACCAAGACATTTTCACCTCCAACATACAGCATTAAAATCCAATCACAAATTGTTCCACAGGAAAGAAAGAACTTGCATTTTACAGCACAAATTATGTCAAGAAGATTTGAAAGGGCACTGCGAAGTGTTTATGACCGTTTTGTAGGCAAATGTGTCAAATGTTACTGTGCCTGTTTTTGTAGGCAAATGTGGACCCATGGTAAATGACAAAAATATCTGGAGGGATTGTAGGCCAGGAGACCCGGAGAAACTCCCTTCTCATTTTGACGAATGTCAGGAGATTCTTTGACAACCACCATTTACTCAAATGGACATGGAACACAAATCTTTTTGTGAAAGGTGAACTAATACTCCACCCTGCAAAATAATACTTGTATTTGATACAGTACCTTAACACGTTGTTGAGATGTCTCAAAATGCTTCACTGAATATCCACAAAGCGAATTGACTGTATATTTTGTGGGCGAAACGCGGCAACCAATTGCGCACAGCAGTGTCCCACAAACAGTGGTGAAGCGAGCGACCACATTTTTGGGGTTACTTGATCCATGAAGTGAAGTCATAGCTAAACTGTGGAGAAATTAAAACACTGCCGATACCTTTTTTCGTTGGTGCATCCTGGACAGAAAGGGTGATCAGCTTCTGATTGGCGGGTAAGATGGGCCGCTCAGCTTCCGCCTGCTTCCGTTTCATCTCCCGATTAAACTGACGCCGCTCGGCCCAGGTCCTGAACTTCTTCACAGTCACTTGTTCAAAATCAAAGCGCTTCTCCAGGTATTTCTTGAAATCTTCGATATCTGAAAAATTGAGCAAAATCGCTTTAATTTATTGTATGCTGATAAGAAGTGAACAGGCTAGTAATAGTAATAATAATCCTTCTATTTGATATAGCACCTTAATACGTTGTTAAGATGTTCCAAAGTGCTTCACAGGATACATTGCAAAGTGAATTGACTGTATATTTTCTGCGTGAAACGCAGCAGCTAATATAATGAATGGCAAGACACAGAACCAAGGCCAAGCACTTGCAGACAGAGTGAGCGAGCTAAAGTGGGAGTTTTCACCACTCCCAGACTTCTGGGTTGTACACAAAATCCTTCTACAAAAGACTTCAGGGCGCAAGTTGCCTGCTTGCCTGGCAAATGAAACCCGAGAGGAAATAAAACGCAGAGAGAATGAGAGCAAACCTGTTAATGATCTTACCTATAGATTCCTCTTTGCATACTTCCACTTTAGCCTTCACCTGGCCAAGGGCACCCGGACAAAAGACTGCCATCGAGACCACTTGTTCCTCTGAAGATTTGGCGCTGATGGTACCCGAGCTGCCTTGAAGCACTGGGTTACCAACCATGTTGGGCTCAGTAGCTTTGCAACCTGGCTCCTCGCTTGTTTCTGTAGCTTTCGCCTCGGGCTTTTCTGGGGACAGTTTTCCATTTGTGGTCACTTTGGTTACCTCACCATTACTGGCCGCCGGGTTATTCTCCTTCTCCTCGTGGTCTCTCATTTTCATGTAATGTAGACAGGGAATGCTGCTCAGTGGCGGGTCGTGTTTCTGTACAAAATAACATCTTTCTTCTGGTAAAATATTCTGGACCCTTTCTCAGTCACAAGAGTCAAGGGAAGGGGTGGGGAGACAGAGAAAGAAGGGAAAAGAGGTAACATAAGGGTGCCAATGCTACTTGACACTGAAGCACCAGCACGGGACTGGCGACAACAAACTTTAGAAGCTACTTATTGGCAATCCTTGCAACGGCATTTGATAGAACGTTTGAAAGATTTGATTTGAAAGAGAAATATGAAGGGTGTGGGGGAAATTGATTGCTGCTGCAGGTAAAACATTGTGCTGTGTATAATATGTAACTGAACCCATACCCTGATGCTTCCGGTTCCTAGGAAATAAGGGCGTGACCAGGTGACCACCCTGGTCTCTCTGTGCAGGTAGACTGGAATTCCAGAGTTATGGAATGTCATGATCCAACCATCGGGCAGGGGTTCCGTTGGAGGACGGCCGCGATCTGCCACAATTAAGAAAACCCAACTGAATAAGGGAAACCCAAAAATAACAACTTGTATTAATATCGCACCTTCACGCAGGAGAGAGAGCGCCTCATACCAAAGAGAAGTCTCAACCGGGGATATCGATGGGGATAAAAAGGGTCGAAAATACCTTCAAGAAGAGTGGGCAGAATAAAATAAAGGAACAAAGCGGCACGTTTCGGGCAGGCTGCACTGCCAGTCACTGTTACTCCTCATTGCAACAATCTCGCACCTTTAAGCTCGATCGCGCCTTCAGTCGCCCTCCTACCACCACCCTCCCCGCCCTCCACCCTTACTGATCCCAGCTCGAGTCAAATCCCTGACCCTCCAGCACCTTGGGACGTCCTCCCGACGTGTAAAAGTCACTTGTTGTTAAACCACCAACACCAGGAGCGCTAAGCAATCACAAGTAAAGAAACAGAATTCAGACAGATCGCAGGTCTGAACAGTGACTGACTTTTGAGCACGGTTTTGATTTTGGTCATCATGGGCTGTACGCTGGTCTCCTCGTCAGACTGGTGGTCGCTTTCACCGGTCACCTCCTCTTCAACACGTTTCTTCTTCCTGGGAGGAGGGAGCACCGCCTCCAAAAGCGCATCCACGTCATTGTCAAAGTCATCCTGTAAAACACAGTGTTGGAGGCCGACCCACAATAACACTGCGAGGGGATCTAGACGGGGCTAGAATTGCATATGGACTTGAAAATGAACATTTGCAGGGCTGTGGGTTAAGAGTGGGAGAGTGGGACTAGTTGGTAGCTCTTTCAAAGAGCTGGCACAGGCACGATGGTCCAAATGTCCTCCTTCTGTGCTGTAAGATTCTATGAACTGAAGCTGCCGATCTATAAATCATGATGGCATCAGTTTTGTCGATTAACTGAAAGCTGAGATTGTCACAGAATGTCACACTGAGTCAATTCACTATGTTTGACAGCACTGTGTGTGTTCTTTCACTCAGTTACCCACCTCACAGCTTAAACAATGTGAGTTATGCTTACATCTGCAATCTATATATGGATAGAATCTTAACACTATAAAATAATTTTAAAAATAGTTTGACAGGTGTACTTTACCCAATCTTTAATAAACGAAAACCATGTTTAAAAACATGAGCCTGATTCTGAGCGACTGTAATATCATGAACACAATTTAAAGAGTCTTGTAACTACAAGGATATGAAATGTCTTATTTCATCTCTGGGTTTATAACTCAATAACATCACAAGGACTTCAATAAGATATTGGCACTTTTGTCATTTGGAAAAAAGTCTGGAATTTTCATTTCAAACGGTTACAATGAATGTATTTTGATGGGCTGTAGATAAGCATCAACAGAGAAAGCACACATTTTTTGCAGTTATTTACCACTAGACCTTACATTAAACAACTTGTAAACCTCGCCACGAAGATGCAATGGGTATTGATTTTCACACTTGCGTTGTCACACATCAGAGAGCTCCAGCCTGGGCAGCATGCCAACTCTGTAGTGAGCTTTATCTAATGCTCTGGTCAGTCTTCAGAGTTGGTTCATCCATACACACCTACAGATGGGTGGACACAACTCCGACCAACCAATTCATAGACAAGGATTGGCATCAGAACTATGGCGTAGTCTGCATTTCTGTTCATCCACACTACTGACAAGATGGACCACAGCTGGAGAAATAGAAGCTGAGCAGGGACGGAAGAACATCTTATGTAGAATAAAATCTGCCATTGTTTACTACAACGCAAACTGCTTCCACCCCCCCACCAAACTGCTGCTTGCTAACTATTTCAATGCCTTTATACCAGGTAGTATATCCCACACTGTGGATAGAAACATAAATGGGAAGCCATTAAACCTTTGAGAATAAACCACCTTAACGTTTCTATTCTTGAAAAAAAACCTACAAATACGCTGGTCAGAAATGACAAAACACGCAGGGTTCAAAATAATAACACCAACAACTTGCAGTTATATAGTGCCCTTCACATGGGGTAGCATCCCGGAGCGCTTAACAGTGGCGGAGCCTGACACTGAGCCGGTGGGGAGAGGGAAGGGGGTGGTGACAGTATACACACACACACAAAAGACAAATCCACATGCAAACACGTGTGCATGTGAGTATTTTGAACCCTGCTCACATACCTCGAAGGAATAACTCATGGCTTCCTCGTCCACGTGGTCCGGCTGAATGATCATTTCAGATTTGAAACCCGTTCCCTCTACATCATCCGTCTCGAAGTTTTCTGTAAAGTCTTCGAGCTCGTCAAGAACAGCAAACTCCACTTTTTTCTCTTGATTTTCTTCAATGTCTCGTTTGTCGATACTCTTACTACCAGTGCTAACTGATCCCACTGCTCTACTGTTCTCAAAAGGAGCCTCATGCAATTCTCCGTTCATGCTATTCCTTAACTCGGCGGCTTTCTGCCCAGACTTGACCCCAGTATAAACTACCTGCCTGTCTTTACTTTTAATGCTGTCGGTAAAGACAATACTGACTTTCACATCTTTAAGCAACTTAATATCGGGTGCAAATTTCGGAACAAGAGGTGCGTGACGTGCCGTTCTTGGGTTGTGTGGGCAGCTCCCTGATAATGCTGCCAACCGCTTGTTAAAGACAGTGGATCCCTGGTCTTGGCTGCAAGTGATAGAGTCCCCAGCGGGGCTGTCTGACAGTCCATCACCACCGCAGCCAACGTCCATAACCTCGGCCTCACTGGACGTTTGCAGGGGAGGTGGTGGAGGCGGCAAGTGTGGGGGTAGCGGTGGGGGACTGGGCTGGGTCTCCACACTCAGTGGTAATGCTGGCTCTTTGGGGAGAGGTGGCGAACTTCCAAACGGCTCCATCTTTCACAAACACTAACACACTAAACCGCAAAGAATCCTAGACAAATACAAGCTTACTCCAATACCCAACTAAAGAAGCCCTGAAGAATTCACCAGTCCAAGAGAATAGGTCGGATGATAGGGTCCTAATCAAAATATACAGATGATTCAGTTAAGCTGACTACATTGCTCTTTTCATTAATGTAGACAGCTTTTAGAATCACTGTCTCAATTATTGGAAATCACAATGCATTCAGCTTAATCAACGTCCACGATCAGATAGCGTTCATCATCTTGAGCTCTTGACACCATTTTCTGATGTTCACCACTGTAAAAAGAATAAAAAAAAGCAATCAACTGTTTCAACCTTGGGGCTCCCGAAGGGTCTCATCAGTTTGGATAAAATATCAACTAAAAACAGAAGCGACAACATTTGGGGTAGCTCGGATTTAGAATTTAACTTGATGAAATAGTTTCTGAGGGCCTGTAACACCGGATTAGTAAACATACAGCTCACTTTATCTGAACAGGAGTATACCGGCGCCTTAAAGCACACTAAACAGGACCAGAATTACAGCTCTCAGCCCAGCACACAATCATTTGAGTCGCACTTTAAAGGAATTTTTTTTTTAAAAAAAAGGTAGGTTAAAATAATTGGCGTAAGTAACATTAACTTGTCAAAACCATCCAAGTCAGTTGACTGGTTATTATATAACTCAAAATCGCTTCAGGCCATTTGCAGTCACAACCATTTTCTAGTACGTAAATAAATCACTTGAACCAACATTGTGGTAACAGGTTGTGATCATCACAAATACAGCAAAATAATTTAGCAGTTCAGAACACCGAATGCGACCTTCACAATAATTTTTTTCCAACTGTCCACTCATTCCGGGCTTTTTCTTTTTTTCAAAAAAAACCACACACACACACACACACACTAAGGTATCATTCATATCTCACCAGTTCATTCACATCGTTCATGACGCATTCCATACAGACCTATGCGTTTCACTCACTTGGGTTGCAAAGTTAGCTAAACTCCAGCAAACCGTATGAAAGCAGCGCTTTGCGGTCTCATAGCCTCTTTTGAAAGCAAAAGGGAAAAGCAAGATTCACTTGCAGCTAACTCACACGTGAAGGAAAGTATTATTATTATTATACACACACACACACACACCTTCAATATTTTCTGAGTGTAAACAATACATTTATTGTAGCTGGACATTCGAAGGTTTTTTGGGGGGATTTACAATTCTTTCAAGTTGGGGAGGGGGTAATAATAATAATAATAATAATCCTGGCATCTGATGTAGCGCCTTATCACGTCTCCGAGACGCTTCGAGGCGCCTCACGGTGTGAACACGCTGCGCGGTGGAGTGACTGTGCATTTGGTGGGAAGGGGGAACATTCTTCCTCTTTTAGAGAGAGGCGTCAGGTGTATAATAACTAAAGGAAAAGGGGAAAAGGAAAGGGAGGTGGTGTGGGGGGGGGGGGGGGGCAGGTTATTTAACCGAAACGCACACCTTGGCCCCTTGTGTATAAGGGCCACACACAGCTGCAGGAGAAGGGAAGAGAAGGGGTGGGAAGCCTTCCACACATTTTATTTTATTTTATTTATTTCCACTCAACTTCAGGCCCAAATATATATATATATATATATATTTATATTTATTTTTCACACACACACACACACACGCGCGCGCGCATACAGTATATACACATAACTATATAAGATAAGGATTATTATTAGATTATTGAGATATTACATACATATATATATATGTATAAACCCCTCGTTCACAACAAATAAAAATAAAACAAATACAACCGAAAAAAGCCTAACCGTGCGCCGTGCCAACACGGCACCTTATATAGATATAGATAGATATACATATATACTTCTGTTTAAACCTCTCCACCCGCACCGCGACCGCCGCCGGAGACAGAAAAAAAACACACACAACCCCGGAGGAGGCGCAGAGGTAAAAAAAAAGAAAATAAAAATAAAAACCGGCGGTGAGACCCGAGGGCCGCCGTAAAGTTTTGAGGCTGAGCTCAGCCGAGCAGCGGCTGAGGGGAGGGCTGGGGCTGGGGGGGGGGCTGGGGGAGGGCTGGGGGGAGCCGAGGCCTAAAGGCGAGGCCTTGTCGTCCTCCCCAGCCCCCGAGGAAGGCCCCGGGCGGGCGATGCGGGCTGGAGGCCCGGCTGCTGGTTTAGGCGAGAAGCGGGGGGTGGGGTGGGGTGTGTGTGTGTGTGAGGGGGTGCGGGGGACACCTGGCGCTTGTCTTTCCCTCCCTCTCCCCCTCTCTCTCTCTCTCTCCCTCGGCACCGGGATCAAAGGCAACCAACGCTACCGTTATACTCGGCTACATTTAAAACCGTGAGAGGATTCCATGGCGCCTCGCGCTCGGCTCCGCTGTCCTGTCCTGTCCCTCTCCTCCCGCTCCCGCGCCGTCCTGGCCCCCGCGCGCGCGCCGCCCCGACCCGCCACGCCCCGCCCCGCTCTCCCGGAAACCCACCAACCGCCGGCCGCGCTCGGCCTGAGTGACGGCGCGCTCCGCCTATCAGCACCGGGAAGGAAGAGCAGCGCGACCCGCCCCTGGCTGACGCGATGCTCACAGCGTGAGTGACGGCCCGCTCCACCTATCGACGAGGGCGCAGCAGCAATGTCCCGCCCCTCCCGCAAACGTCAATCACACGCTGTCTGCCCCCCCCGCCCCGCCCCGCCTTGGTTGGGAGGCGCCCCCTGTGGCTCGGGAGGTAAATGCACAGGGGCACAAGGTTGTAGGTTCAAATCCCCCCACCTTCACGACATTAATAATCCTTTGATTCAGTTGGGTGGTGGTGGTGGGGTGGGGGGGGGGTAATAATAATAATAATTATTCGGAGTCCTGTAGCTCAGTGGTTAGAGCACTCGCTTTGCAAGTGAGAGACCTGAGTTCAATTCCAGGCAGAGGGTGAAACCTTGGGCAAGTTTCCTTACTCCACACAGAGCCTAATAATAATCCTCCAAAACCAAAAACAATAATAAATTGGTCATTTTCAATCTACGACTGTTTGTGGGACACTGCTGTGCGCAATTGGCTGCCGCGTTCGCCCACAAATATACAGTCAATTCACTTTACAGTGTGTTCTGTGAAGCGCTTTGGGACGTCCTCCCGACGTGAAAAGCGCTATATCAAATGCAAGGATTATTATTATTATTATTATTATAATCCTCGCATCTGATATAGCCCCTTGTCACGTCGTTGAGACGTTTCTAAGCGCTTCACAGGATCTTGCGTTTGATTCAGTGCCCCGTCAAGAGGGTGGTCTCCGGGCACTTTGCAACAGCCCAAGTTTCAGCTCGTCACCTTTTCAACAGCAACTCGGAATTATTCGGCGCCCTCCACGCCGGACGGCGTCCCAGAGCGCTTCAACAGCAAACAACCCCTCTCACGCCGGGAGGGCATCCCGAGCTGCTGGACAGTGAAGTATTTGCACCCGCGCTGGGGACTGGAATATAGAGGACTGGAGGGCAAGGGCGGCGGCGGCGGGGGGGGTGGTGGGGGGGGGGGGGTGTGTGTTGACCGACGACACAGTTGAGGAGGAAGGTCTTGAAGACGGGCTTTGACGCGGAGGTAAGGGAGGGGGCGAGGCGGGTGGAGTTCTGGAGGATGAGGGCAAAGGGGTTGGAGGAGTGTGTCCCGTGAAGCGCTTTGGGACATCCCCGATGCGAAAGGCGCCAAAACAACTTGCATTTATACAGGACCCTCCACGCCGGGCGGCGTCGCACTATACTGCATACAAGCATTATTAGGGTGATCCCACTATAATGCTGCAGTGCAGGGGGAGGGGGGAAGAGACAGAGAGAGAGAGAGAGAGAGAGAGAGAGCGTGGCTTTCGATGAAATGTTAAACTGTGTGTGTGTGTGTGTGTATATAAATGCACGTGTGGACATGTGCACGTGAGTATAAATGTGTGTGTACGTTTTATAAGGTTGTGAAGATAACATCACACGGGACAGGATGAAAATATCTTCCAAGGACGGTCGGGCTAGCCTGAAGATTTCCATCACGTACCATCCAGAGAGGATGACAAATGAGTGAAAAAGCAGTTGATGACAGCCACATCACTTGCTCTGGCACCGTACGTAAGCTGAACTCAGACAAGCCTGGCCTAAATGTATATGACAAGAAGGCACACAAGAGAAGACAGACAAACCTGCCTCATATTCGTGAAACTTTATTTAAGTCTTTACAATGAAGGAGGCCCAGACACCGATTACAGTTACAGAAAGAATGCAAAAGTGCATGACTGTGAGTAAATACTTTTAAAAAGTTGGTTGATTTTTTCCCTCTGCAGAATAGGACACAATCAAAGAAAAGCCTGCATCCTTTCTGAAGCTTTAGGTTTCTGAGTTTGCGATTTCTACAGATACCGATGGATGCACGATGCTTTTTAAATCACGGCTACAATCATTTAACACAGAGAAAGTGCGCAGTGTCGCAAATTGCTAAACAAACTTTGACGCTTGCAAATTCATAAAAAAATAGTGCGCCTGTTCCAGTATTTGGCTGGCGATTGTGCTTGATTAACTTTGACAAAACCAGTGATGATTACAGCGGTGAGCATGAAGCCAACAACAACATTACATTTGCATAGCGCCTTTCATGTCGGGAGGACGTCCCCAGGCGCTGGACAGTGCACAGCATTTCAGACCCGTAATTGACACACATTTCACGACGACAGGAATACTTGCTCTCGTGATGTATCGAAACATATATATTCTTCCTACGTGCTTTTTTTCTTACACGCAAAAGTTCCTTAAGCATCAGGGATCCATCTCCCAGGTTCCTACTGAAGCCTCTCTGACCGCAGCGCTCTGAGACGCTACCATGTATGAAGGGGGTTAGATAAATCCAAGTGGTGGTGCTGTGGTTCCAACAAACACATCCTATTACAGATGAACCAAGTTCACTCCCTCGTCCTCTGAATGGATTCCTTTTTGGTAGGATCAATACCAGATTCTTGTGCTTATTCGCCTCACTGAGAGTGCAGGGTGGGATGCGGGAATGGAGTGGAGGTAAACGTGTTCTCCTTCTTGGGTGGAACTGATTCCTCTGGCAAAACAAGGCAGCTTCGCAAAGCAGACATGGAGGTCTAGATATGCCTTAATCCTGTAAGCCAATAATAGTCAACCCGTGGCCCACAGGCCAGAAGTGGCCTGCGTAGATTCGTCAAGAAGCGCCCCTCCCCTGAACATTCACACATATGTAGGTAAGTGCGTGTTCAATCGGTGGTGTGCTTTCAGTTTTTTCTTGGCATAAATCAGGAAATATTCAATCAAGAACACTTATTTTGTTGGCCGACCATAAAAGTTGGCCACCACTGCTGTAAAGCAAAACTGAAAGGGCAGTCCGAGCTGGATGATTAGCAAGCTGAGCGCTTTAACCTTGTTGAGAGAGCAGTGGGTTTTGCACAAACCCACTGCTCTCTCAACCTGGAAATTATTATTATTATTATAATGCACAGTTGTCCCTCTATTTTTATTTCATTGTTGACTGTATATTTTGTATTTTGCCCACAAAATACAGTCATTCCACTTTCCAGTATATTCTGTGAAGCGCTTTGAGAAGTCCCGAAGACGTGATAAGGCGCTATATGAAATGAAAGAATTATTATTATTATCATAAAGTAATTGGCTCCCCAGTCACAGGGAGAGCTTACACAAGATGTTTACAGCTTATATTGTGTGTGAGAAAATTTCACCAGAAACCAAAGCTCAACTTTTGAGCTTGAGTAAGAAAGCAATTCACTTGCAGCCTGAAGGCAGAGGAATTAGTTTATTTTAAGACCTGGGAACCGGATCAAAGTCTCCTTTCTAACTCTCCGTTCTGCTTCAAACAACGATAAACACTCAAACACGACTGCACTCTGCCTGGTGCTGGGTGTGGGTTTAATGTTATTTGCCTTTATCGCTGTGCAGCACAACTTACTGTGTGCTAACTGAAACGAGGATACGTCTATGCTGAATCAAGGAAAGATGACATGTTGAGAATGACGCTTTAGGGTGTTAGAAGGCACCCAGAGCCCACAAAAATAACACTCGCTGCCTTCGTTCATGAGCCAAACCATTCCTGTCATCTCAAAGCGCTTCACAAGATATACTGTAAACTGTAGTGACTTTGTATATTTTGTGGGCGAAAAGTGGCAGCCAATTGTGCATGGCAGTGTCCCACAGTCATGGATTGAGTGATAAAATTATTATAAACTATTATTATGAACCAACAGTCCATATTTGAATATCGATAGGTGAAGAGAACTTTATAAGGACAAAACAATTGTACAGTATTTAAATTTTTTTCGACAAAAAAGACCCTGTACAGAGGTACATGTTCAGGTGTTAACTGGATTAGAAATTAACCGAAGTAACTGCAAACTGAAATTAGTTGTGCTTGTAACTTGACAGCACACTGGCAATGTTTGACCAAACCGTGCGCACGTTAAGTACAAAATGTGAAATTTCATGGAGTTTACAAAGCACGCACACACACACCACACACACACACACAGCCACCAGCCACACACACACACGCACACACAGCCACCAGCCACACACGCACACACACACACACACACACAGCCACACACACACACACAGTCAGGCAGCCACACACACACACACAGCCACACACACACACACACAGTTCCGGCACCCGTCATGTTCACCTGTGACCCAAGGCAAAGCCAGCCATTAAGGCAGCAGTTCGAAGTGGTAGGAGCTGACTTTCCATTGGTGTATGTCTGAGTTGAGCATGGTGCGCTCTGTGAAGGTGACGCGCCCTTTGGTGTCTATGAGGATTACGGTGTTGGTCCTGGTAAAACGAAACCACAAAAAAAAATTATTTAAAAAATCCACCGATCTCTGGTGCCCCACAAGCACTTTCTTCTCATTAGTTATATAATTCGGGGGGAGGGGGTCCAATTTCTTGGCTGCTGAGGGCCTGATGCCCTATTTGAGAAACGTCCGCCGGCCACATAAGGAATATTGTTATGTTTCCCTTCCAGAAACATAACATAACATTTACAGGTTGTGGACGGAGGGAGTGGGTGGGCCAGATGAAACGGAGGGAGCGGGGAATTGGCCTGCGGGGCACCATTTGGACAACAACAACAAAATTACATGTATAGAGCGCCTTTCACGTCGGGAGGACGTCCCAAGGCGCTGGACAGTCAGGGGTCAGGACCTGAGCAGGGGGCAGAGATGAGGGAAGCCAGAAAGTTAGGAGGGCGACCGAAGGCACGATCGAAGAGGAGGGTCTTGAGACCGGCCTTGAAGGAGGCGAGGGAGGAAGCGAGGCGAAGTGAGGAAGCGAGGCGAAGGGACTGTGGGATGGAGTTCCAGAGTGTGGGGGAAGAGAGGCTGAATGTCCGGCCACCGATGGATGGTAGGTCGTGAGGGAGACATGGAGTAGACTGGAGCTCGCTGAACGGAGGGACCACCCTGATTTAGTCCTGTAATACCCCCACAAGCACGTCATCCCCACGGAAGCGCAAACTCACCTGGTGCCGTAGCCAGTCAATCGCACACACACAGATGAATACTTGCTCAGCATGGGACGCATGGAATCCGAAATCTGTTGTTCAATGCCAGGGTCTGGAAAGTGTCTGGTGGTCCAATAACATTTATTATCATTATTATTAATTATCACAATAATAATCCTTGCGTTTGATACAGCGCCCTTCACAACGCTTGACAGGATTTCACTGTGAAGTATCGTTAAGTTGTGTGTTTTGTAGCCAAAACTGTGGCTGTCTGGCAAGCTTTCCCACTGCTTGTCCAGCTAGGACCACACTCCCTGTTAGACTTGCAGGGTTAACAGGAGCTGAGTGACTTCACGGTGACGGTCGTACTCCGTGCCCCACCTCCCTCTCCTTCGCTCAGCACCACTGGACCAGCTACTGCTGTAGTTCCTCCATCGACGAGAGGTGTCCCTGCAGACCAGGGTAAGGCGCTTGCGGGGGGAAAAAACATGGCCTGGATTTTTCCTTCGGGTTATAACTGGGATTGTGGGTTACGACCAGATTCCTGGAAATAGCTGAAGCCAGATTTTCACACTCTACCCCCACCCTTCAAAACATGGAAAGCACTGCTGAACAGACTGTGGCGGTTCCATTGATACCGGTGGTGACAACGTCAGGTAGAGGGTGGCATTTATTGCGTGTCCCTGTTCAGACCATCGAGCTGAACCCTGGGCTCAGACACTGTGCAAGAAAAAACTACTTCTCCACACAGCAGCCGGGCACGAGCATAATTATAATAATAATCCTTGCAAAACACAAAATACTGCAGACGCTGGAAGTCTGAAAACAAAAAACAGAAGTCACTGGGAACACACAGCAGGTCCGGCAGCATCTATGGAGAAAGGAAAGTGAGTCAACGTTTTGAGTCCATTACCCTTCATCAGAACCCGAACCCGTCCTGACGAAGGGTCGTAGACTTTCTCCATAGGTGCTGCCTGACCTGCTGTGTGTTCCCAGTGACTTCTGTTTTTGTTTTCATAATAATCCTTGCATTTGATACAGGGCCTTATCACGTCATTGAGACGTCTCAAAGCGCTTCACAGGATATACTGTAAAGTGAAGCGGCAAAGGTCCCTTGCAACATAATCTGAGTGGTTTAACCCATCACATGGAGGGGGGTGTGGGGTTACACTGCAGAGCTCCAACCAGCACCTTAGCCAAGATTTGGCAAGATGAAGAGCTTCTTTGGAACACACTTACGGCTCTTCGTCATTCATCAGGTGGATAAGTTCGTTCGCCAGTTCCTCGGCAGAAAGTTCATTAATTTTCGTAGTTATTTCGGTGAATAGCTTTTTCCCGTGAAGCACTTTATTCCACGGCGTGTCAAGCAGAGAGTTACTCAGCCCGTAAATACCTAAGGACACAAAGAGACCGAATGAGAAGAAAGGTTCAGCATGGAACACAATGTCCCCCTGTCTGCTCTGTTCTGGACAGAGGCTGATTTTATTCCTTGGCGCACAGCCACGCAATTAAATGTCTAATTTTGCGTGAATGTAATGTAATTCACGAAGGCTGACCGACCTGGTTGGAGGAGCTGGGGTTCCTTGCCACTCTGGTTTCCATAGTAACACATCACATCTTCTTTGGTATTGCTGGAAGGAAAAGATCGCTGGATTTAGAATTGTACTATGAGTGTTCCTGAACGCTACACAGGGATTTTATGCTGACACTGGCATAATGACGCTCTGTTTAGAATGGTGTGATCGGAGAAATCATTAAACAGAGGATTAACCCACCACTGAGCTGTGTGTGGGATATGACAATGCCCCGTGGAGTGGAGGACCTTTTGTAAGAACACTGATGTCGCTGCGCGTAAATTAGGTGCCGCGTTTTGCCCACAAAATACATTCAATTCACTTTGCAGTACATCCTGTGAAGTGCTTTGAGATGTCTCAATGTCATGATCAGGCTCTATAGCACATGCAAGGATTATTCCAAATTTATTTGGGTGATTGTCAGCCAGGACACCGCGACAGAGAAATTCTCTTCTCTTTTCCAACAGTGCCATGGGATCTTTCACAGACACCTGAATAGACAGACAGGGAGCTCGGTTTAATGTCTCATCCGAAGGACGGCATCTCCTACAATGCAACAACGCCCCCCCAGCACTGCATTGGAGAATCAGCTTAAACTATGTGATTCCAAATCCTTACGTGGGGCTTGAACCCACAACCTCAGAGGCAAGAACATGACCACTGAGCCAGGCTGACACACTTGTTGACGGTATTGGCCTGAAACTGTTCAAATTATAATTCAGACACGACCAAAGTAAAGACTCCCAATTACCAACCGCACTTTGCAAAACAAAAGCCATGGGGACAATTACTAGCATAACCATACAACTAAACTATAACTAAACAAGCATATTAATCACTAGCATTGTGTTGAGTTGTGACTGGACCAAAATGTTTAAAGCAAAAATATTCTAGTCGCAGACTGGAATAACGAGAGCCATTCTAGATGAAGATGTGAGTGAGTAGTAAATGTATGGAAAAGATCCCTCGGGAGAGACGGTGCAAGCAGAAAGTTGTTTCAAGAACAAATTAGATAGATTTCTATTAGAAAATAATATCTGGGGATACAGTATTTAGTTTGGGACTGCGGAAGAAGGTGAACTGGATGGACCTTTGTCTTCTTTTGCCAACAATTCTTATGTTCTTGAGGTGCATCATTCGTTTGAGTGTTAATGACAGAGCCACAGGACGAGCTCCACTGCTGAGCACTTTAATAAGGCTCTGATAGAGAGTTTACATGACCTGGCAAATCGCCATGTGATGAAATTCAATTGGTTTTGAACTCTTGTGCAGTTTCAGTTTTGCTGCATTTATCAGGCAATGCCATGTATAAATAGTCTCCAAATCATTTCCTCTTTAAAGCGCGGCTCGAAACTTTTAACAACCAAATAAATAGGATTACCTTTTTATGTTGTTGTTTGGAACAGCAGAAGAGCTGGTTGGGAGTGCATTAATAAATGAGCATGTTGCAAGAGAAAACTTGAAATCATTTACAGAATCCTCTCGATTTAGCACTCTATCTGAGAGGATTATTTATTAATAGTAAGTGTATGAGCAATGCACTGTGGAGAATGTTGTCTGGAGCGGGGCTGTTTCTCCCCAGTCTGTAGGGTCAAGTCACTCCAACAATGGAATAAGTTGTGGAGACCTGTGGCGTAGCGGTTAGAGCACTTCCAGAAAGCGGTCTGCCAATCGACTAACAACCGGGTTCCTTGTTTACTGCTGGTAAACAGAGGTGTGTGTGTGTGGAGTAAGGAAACTTGCCTCAAGTTTCACCGCGCCCGGGAATCGAACCCGGGTCCTCTGGCTTGCGAGTCAAGCAGGCTGCCACCCGTGTTCAGGTATTGATGTTTATCATTTTGGGGCAGACGCAAGTACATAGCTCTTTGGGAGTAAAGTCTGCACATCGCTTGGCTGGATGGCTTTCTTTGACAAGAGAGTGCAGTGGCGCTTTGACGATTGACTTCCCCTTGTCAGCCTTTCTTCAGCCGAACTCAAAGTCACAAAGGAACAATCGCCCTGAACCACGAAAGAGACATTCACTGCCAGGGACTAAGTCTGCAAATTTACTTCCACTGCCTAGTTACAACCCACTCAGTAGAAGCTATGTGTTGGCGAAAAATCAATGGAAACCTCAGTTGAATTGGACTTTTGTCTGTCAGCACCACAACTTCTCCTTGATCACTATGCAAGTTTACTTTGTTTATCTCAGCAAAGACTATTCTGGTCAAAATACCACTCCGGCTCCAGGCTGAATTAACAAGACAACCCCACCCCCCCCCCACCGGCTCAAAACAGCTACTTAAAGGCATAAAAACGTGCAATCATTCTCTGCCAAAACATGAAACTAAAACTTTTGAGTACTTTAACAAGCTGGGATGTTTCCAATGACAGTGGTTTCACAAATAAATATTCCTTGGTTTTCCATGCGAAATGTTACTTTAATTTCTCTCTGCTTCCATTTCCCCCACCCCCGCTCACTGCTCATCCTCTCTGTCTCTCTGCTTCAACTGGCCATCACCTCACGGTGGTGAGCTCAGCAGATCTACCATCTCCAGCACTGGTTACAAGCTCAATTTTGGTAAAATTGGCAATGTCAGTCTGGCTCTCTACCACAATCAGAAACCCGCACACTAAACACACAGGACAGTTGCCTCGAAATTCCAAAGTCTGCAGATGGCAAATAGAAAAAAAATGACCCAGGAATTTATTGGTTTGAGTCACCTTAACGTTTACAAGGGCAGAGGAGTTTGTGAAAGGATTCAGAAACCCAGATAAGGCCAGGCAAGGCAAGACCAGACAATCAAGGCATCTGCTGCTTGTTCTTCTCTACCTCACAGGACTGTTCTGTTCCTCTTCACCGTTCCTCACCTCTGTCACTACCTTATTATTATATTATTTTATTTTAAAAACCTGCATTTTCTTTTAAATAAATATTTTCCTTTTCATCTGAAGCCTCAAAGGCGTGTGCAGTGAATGGGAACCTGGGAACGGGAGTCAAAGTTGTTGAACGCGCAGGAGGTTAAACATGCTCGGAGCGCTGTGAGATGTGGCTTTCAGCCTGTGGTTGCACACGTGGCCAGGTGTCAGCAATGCTATCGCAGGGATGTAGGCAGCACAGGTGAGTGTGAGGCCTCCTTGTTCTGCTCGGGGTGTAAACTGCCCCAGTTTCTTCACAGGTGCCTTGGAATTCAGCTTCTCTTCATTACCTTCATCACTTGACACACCGTCCTGGCCGTATGCTTGTAATTTTCTTCCTGTCAGATCCCCACTACTGGTGACTCACACAGCTAGGAACTGTGGTTAATATCCACATCCCAAGTCTCTCACAACATTTGCTGTGTTTTGCTGAGTCCTTCCTGGCTTTTAGCACGATCAGCCGTTTGCTCGGATTGAGGTTCAAAGCTTGATATAATAATCCTACAGTAATTTGATAATAATCCTTACATTCGATACAGCGCCTTTCACGTTAGGCGGACATCTCAATGCGTTTAACAGGATATTCAGTCCTGTAAAGTGTAGTGACTGTGTGTTTTGTAGGCAATCAGCTCTTGGGAGTGAAGCTCCCAACTTACATCTATGGACAAGTACAACAACCACAACTTGCATTTACACAGCGCCCTTCATATGGGGCAGCATCTCGTAGCGCTTAGCAGTGGCGGAGCCTGACCCTGAGCCAGGAAGGGAGTGGAGGAGGTGACCGTAAGCACGGTGGAAGAGGAAGGTCTTCAGTCGTGATCTACAAGAAGGGAAGGAGGGGGTGAAGCGGAGGGATTGAGGGAGAGAGAAATCAATGATATTCCCTTTGTTGCGCTCAGTGATTCTCCTCTGTGTCTCTTTGTGTGAAGCTGCAGTAAGACTCACTGCAGACTGGAACCCTGAACCATGTGAACAACAATAAACCAGAGAGAATGTGGGGAAGGAATTCCTGAACTCAGCAGTACTCGGTCAGTGCGTTGTTTTTGCAGATACCTCTGCTTGGCAGACTAAACCCTCAATTCAAAAAAAACACTCAGTGTAATCTCTCCCATTTATCTATTGACCTGATTTCAGGTTCCACATTAAATACAGTAGCAAGATACTGGGTCAGGAATTTCAGCGTCTGCAGTTTCCAGGCAGCCACATGTCTGTCATATGACTCCATTCAGTCTAGACAGACACTCACGATATTAGAGTACCTGAAACTTATTTTGTGTTTGGTACTTTTGCTATCAGCTATCGGCCTTAAACCATTCCGATGTAATACCCACTGTTGATTAGGCATGTCTTTTTTTGGACAGACAGCCGGATGAGTCTGACGTACAATTAAATAATACTCTTTGCATTTGATATATCGCCTTATCACGTCTTCAAGACGTCTGAAAGCACTTCACAGGATATACTGTAAAGTGGAGTGACTGTATATTTTGTGGGCGAAAGGCATTTAATGGTGATTTGCTTTGACTGAATTAGCACAGGTGATCAGCCAAGCAAATGAAGCTCCTTTTACAAAATCCTTTCCTGTTTCTGCTGAGAAACGAGAAATTAATTGAAAGCAGCCCTCCACAGGGGCACCACCATTCCTGCCGCAGGACCCTCTGGGGAGGATAACTGCGCCTTCCTCGCTGGCTGACCTAGTTTCTGGCCTCAGGAATCAACACACAGGCTATGGAGGTGGTAAGCTAGTACCCTGTCTTTTGTGGTTCCTGACATTGTGGTTACATCAGTGTTTCCCAATCCATTTTGCAAATGGATTCATGACAATTAACTCTCAGAAACGAGTCATGCATTAAGGTGCGCTGTTCCCTGATTGATCTCTCAGCAGGAAGCAAAGCTATTTGGAAACAAATGTTCCCATTGAAAGGAACGCATGCCAGTGATGGGCGTCAGATTCAACAACAATAACTGACATTTACACAGCGCCTTTCACGTCGAAAGGATGTCCCAAAGCATTGGACAGTCAGGGATTTGGACCTGGGCTGGGGGTTGGAATCAGGAGGGCTGGAGGTTGTGGGTAGGAGGGTAAGAAACATAAAGCTGAACAGGACAGGCCACCCAGTTTACGCTATATCTTATTGAAGGCCAGCACAGCTCCACACTCATTATCGGTCACCTTACCTGAAATCAGCTGCTAACAAGTTGAATCCGTTATACAGATGTCCTTCTGTAGATATCCGCTTCAGATACGATAAACTGTCCTGGTTTCCAGTCAGGAAATTTGACACGAGACTACCTTAAATAATAATTTTAAAAAAGCCTTTCAATCATATACAGATTTTAAAGCTTCTATCATAAGCACACTTAATCCCCGGAGAAATGCAGTAACTTGAGCGCATTAATGTAGCGCCGGTTGTGGATTAATAAGACCGTTTTTGTGTGATTTGGTTGTGAGTGTCTCCAGTTCTCGGCCAATATCCTGCAAGAGGATAATCCGACTCACTTAACTAGTACAAATCTGTATCGTACAGTCTTCAACTGGCTACAGAAATATCCATAGTTCCCAAAGGGTTAAGTACTACAGCCACTTGCAATGGAAAGTTGACAGTGTTGCTGTGGAAAGCACATGGATTTGGCGTGTTTAAATTATGCTGCTTCATTTGTCTGGTCTTTGACACTTGTGCTTAAAGGGATAGAAAATCATGGCATCGAATGAATGATGGTGCTGGTGTGTATGTGCGTGTGTGCCAGTAACTTGAGCTGACATAGAACCCAGAGCTGTATCTTATTTTATGAAAGAATGTCGCGATGAGCTGCAAAGTGAGGACAGAACAGTGACGTAAACAGCAGGAGTTTTGCGAAAATTACTACTTGTAGAAAAAAAACGAGAGGTTTACGGCTGATAATCTTCATCAAAGCTCACCTCTGCCGTGTGCATTGGGGTTCATAATTGGCTGAAGATAATTGGTGAGTGTGGCGAACTTGCCTTTCCTGCTGATACCCAACCACGTTCCGCCTTCTTTACCCTCTTCCATGTCCAGTCCTGTAAGTGGCAGACAGACACACAGCGTCTAGGACAACAATAATTACATACAGGGTACGAGGAATCTAAAAAATCTAAACGGATCAAGAGTTGGGGAGTAAACGACAACAATTTGCATTTACACAGCGCCCCTCACACTTGACACAGCGGAGCACAGTGCCGGGGGGTGGGGTGGGGGGGTGGTGACAAGGCATGGTCGAAGAGGAAGTGACCTGAAGATGGGGAAGGAAGGAGCACGGCGGAGGGATAGAGGAAGTGTTCGGGGCGTAGTGGCTGAAAGCGTGCTCGCCAATGGTGGAACGGAGGGCACGAGGGACAAGCAGAAGGCCGGAGCCAGTCTCGTTTGGTTGGTGCAGTGTTTTTATTACCCATTTTTTTTAAACCTTCTAAGCCTGTTGCTGATTGTCTGTCATTCAGTGAGTATGTGCTGGCAGGCTGCGATTCTTAAACAAATCAGGCTTCAACTCTTGCCAACCTGTGCCTAATGCAATCCGGAACTAAGTAAGCAGGAAGCAGCCCTCTCGGGAGAGAGTGCACATTCCATTCCACACATGGTGATTTCCGTGCGTAGGTGGCACATGTGGAACTCTGTCTTGTCTGATTTGGAGAATCTTAAGCACAATGATGGGTTTCTGCAATTGTCAGACATCAAAATACAACATTACATTTGTAAAGCGCCTTTCACGTTGGGAAGACAGAGAGAGAGAGAGGGGGGGGAGAGATAGATGAAACTAATCAATAGCTTATTAGGAACAAATGCTAGAGCTTCCATTCTGTTCTGAATCCAATCGCCATGGATCCATGGGATTACTTAGAATGAAAAACATTCTCTCCTCTCTCTCGATGACTCTTGTTCAGCTCTTAAAACTCAAGTGTCATAGAGAAAGAGAGAGAGGGGGGTATTCAGTGCCTCACAACAAGGGGGAGATGAACCAAAGACCGAGAGTCACTCTCAGATCGGACGACTTCTTAATCTCCTCACAGCGAGATGGAGAGTGAGGAGCTCAGCAAACGAAAGGGTAGTTGGCCACTGTGCTGGATCAGGGCAGTGTACAGTGTAGGTGAAACCATCGTAAAACCACAACGTCACTAATGCACCATGTTCTACTTCTGCTGAAACCCTTAAAAAAAATTGCGCCTATTTCTTTACTTCTGTTAAACTGCATTATGTTTCACTTACTTTGATGTACTGTGACTCTTCTTCTATGCATTCACATCCATCCAAAATGGATTTCCTGTCCTTAACGTTTTAATACATAAAAACGGTACTGAATGCAGGTAACATGAATCATGCGTCAAAATTTACAGAGAGATCAATATTGACAGAGAAAATAAATCTGTAAAATCAAGACCATTGACTGTGTGGAAACGTCAGCATATTTCTGAACTCTCCCTTTCTTTATATTAAAAAAAGTGAAGTTTTATTACATTTTTCAAACCGAGTGCATAAAACACACAGATTTTTGTTTCTACCTTTTGGAAACTTCTGCTCTCCACCAACAAAAAGTAATGACAATAATAATAACAGTGGACTAGGATAAGTCTCCCACCAATTCTCCTGCTCTCCCCTTCGGGGATGGATTTGTCATAGTTGAGCTGTCAACACAATGGTGATCTGAAGTGTGGAAATCTAGTGTAAAGCTGTGTCTTACCAAACCACAGAATCTTAGAAAATGTTAATAATCCTCGCGTTTGATATGGAGCCTTATCACTTTGTTGATACGTCTCAAAGCGCTTCACAGGATACACTGTAAAGTGGATTGACTGTGAATATACTCTGAACAACCAAAGCTGTGTTCGGAGGTGGCTAATCCTTGCTGACTCGTTTTGTTTGTGAAAAACGAAAGTGATCAAAAGAACATAAATGGATGCTACCCTGTGTGAGGGTGCTATATAAACGCACGTTAATGCTGTTGTCACTAAGTTGTACTTGGTCACCACGGATCAGCCCACCACTCTATCCCTCCTCACAAACCACCCAGTCATTAATTTTTGCCACTCACTCCCATTGCTTACCAGCACAAAATGAACAGCCAAATCTGGGAACTGCCCCAATCTATCACATTTATAAATGACCTTAAACCACGGGATGTTTGATCAATACATATGAGAGAAGCCTGGACATGGCTGGTATTAATGGAAAATCATTTCTGCCTGATAGCTTTCATCTCGTGCCGCAGTTTGCATCCAATCAAGGTTTGAATTTAACTGGGGCTTACTTGATGAATCCTACTGAATAGTAATAATAATCCTTGCATTTGATATAACGCCTTAACACGTCTTCAAAACTTCTGAACCGCTTCACAGAACATAACTGTAAAGTGAATTGACTGTATATTTTGTGGGCGAAAAGTAGCAAACAATTGCGCACAGCAGTGTCCCACAAACAGTCATGGATTGAGTGACCAAATTATATCTTAAAGGGATTATTATCCTGTTAGTGATCCTACTTACTGCTGGGTGAACAGAGGCATGTGGATCAGGAAAACTTGCCTAAGGTTTCACCCCGCCCAGATTGAATCTGGGTCCTCTCGCCTGCGAGGCAAGTGCTATAATCACGATGCTACAGACTCCAAAAGGTTGAATATTGCCGAGAGGATCTCAAATTATATTAAAGATGTTTCCTGCAGAGCTATACTGTGCTGTGTCAGAATCCAGATTCTCTTCTAAGTTAACTGTGCAAGTTCAGTGTACAGTACATCTCCTGAATGGAGCACAATTGTCTGTCCTACACAGTGAGTGACCTTTCCCAACATCTTCTATTCCGATTAAGTGGCTGTAAGCTTCCGTTTGGCTTTTGTTCCGACTCTTTGAAAAGAGCATTCACTGACTGACCACATTTAGAATCACCGAACAGTCTGACTCCCTCAAAAAGACATGACATTAGAGCTGAGCTGTTGGGAAAATGTACTGGAAATATAGTAAAATAAACTGCGGGTTTGACTCCCGATAAGAGAACCAGTCTGAATCCTCTCTTTCCTTGCTTGTGAAGTTAATTTAGTTGTCAGATTTCTTTTTGCTTTCTCTTTCCCACTTCAAGACCTTCATTTTCAACCATGCCTTCAGTCATCTTCTCTCTTCCACCCTTTCCCCCACCATTGCTCTCCAACCCTCTCTCATCCCAACCTTGGGTGCAACCCCCTCCTTTAAATCGCGCTTTCATGTCCTCTCGATGTGATAGGCTTTACATAAATATAATTTATTGTTGTTGATGTCTCCCATTTTCGCCTCGGGGGCACACAGTCTGTGATGTGCTTTGAGACGTCTCAACGACGTGATAAGGTGCTGTATCAAATACAAGGATTATTATTATAAGTGACTCTATTGGAATTGTGTGCAAATTTACTTCAAAAGGAAACTGTTCAGAGTTAACATTGATTAAGATTGATCGCACTCTGGCACGTTCAGGACTGTGCATTCAGCACGGCCAATGTCCTTACCACTGAGAATGTCACTGTTGCTCGCCCAGAAGTCTGCTGGCTTCGATGGCCTGGAATAGATCTCATCCCTGTTTGATGCTAGGACGAGTCTGCCGAGGAAAAAATAATAATAAACCTTGCATTTGATATAGCGCCTTATTACATCTTTGAGACATCTCAAAACGCTTCGCAGTATATACTGTAATGTGAATTAACTGTGTATTTTGTGGTCAAAACCCGACAGCCAATTGCACATAGCAGTGTCCCACAGACAGCCGTGGATTGAGTGACCACATTTTTTTTTTATTTGATTGTTTATTATCCTGGAAAAGCGATCCGCCAATCAATTAATAACTGGGTTTCTACGTAATACTAGGTAAACAGAGGCATGTGGAGTAAGGAAACTTGCCTAAGGTTCGCCCCACCTGGGAATTGAACCCGATTTCTCTCACTTGCGTAGCGAGTGCTCAAACTATTACGCTACAGGACTTCACAACAAACATGAAGATTTGGCTTCAGATCTAATCAGTTTGAGTTGAGTGAAACATCAAAGAAATATTTACAATTCAGCACATTAGCTAAAGTGTTTAAAAAGAATTATGAATACTATTTTCAGAACGTTATATTATAATTGGGAACATTAAAATTTTAAATGTGCATATTCCTTTGTGATTAAGATTACCTCCCCCTCCGCTCCCCAAACACCACAAAATCTGATTTTCCCAATTAATTTAAATTCTTCATTTGTTATTTTATAATCTCGCCTCAGGGCAAGACTGAAAATTAACTTAAAGCAAAGCAATTTCGGTTTTCCTACTCCTTACAAAAACAAATGTAGATGTAGATCTGTTCTCTCAAAGTCATAACCGTTTAAAGTAACAATAAAGGTAAATTTCCTGGTGCTTTGTGGCAAACTGCGGATTATGATCTTGCGCGTTCCCCCAGAGAACAGATTTGGGCTTGAAATTCTATTTTGCACTAATATTTCCATTCATATGCTACATTTTATTGCAATGCAATACAAATTGTGATACTCCCAGCAGTTACCCCAACGCACGCTCTGGGCTCCCCCCCAAGCCTTGGCACTTGCCAAACTGCGCTTAATACATTCCGGAATTAGGTAAATGCGTCCCTCCGGGGGGAGAGAGAGAGAGAGAGAGAGAGAGAGAGAGAGAGACCATTCCATTCCAACAATCTATCTCTGGGATTTCCATGTGTAGGTGACGCATGTAGAAACACCCAGCTGGCCAAAAAAAAAATGTAGAGTTAGAGGCTTATTATTTATTATCTGTTATTAGTGGCGATGAGAGAGGGTATTTGGCTGGCCAATGCCGAGTCTCTGCCAGTGACATACCTGTAAGCAGAAATTGGACGTGGATCAAACTTGAAGAAAATGATGCACATGAGGATCTGCAGATCACTTCACTTCTTCCCAATGAAGGGTCAGACCAGGGTTATCATCACTAGCTCTGTGGCTGAAAGAATAAAGATTATTGATGTAAAATGTGCACGGTTCATGTGATATTCTACTGCTGGGCTCAACTACTATTACTACTGATAATAATCCTTGCATCTAATAAAACGCCTATCACATTGTTGAGACGTCTCAAAGTGCTTCACAGGATATATTGTAAAGTGTAACGACTGTTTATTATGTGTGTGGGCGAAACGCAGCAGCCAATTGTGAACAGCTGTGTCCCACAAACAGTCATGGGTTGAGCTACCACATTTTAATTAATTAATTTTGGGGGGAGAGATTATTACCTCCGGAAAGCGATCCGACAATCGACTAACCTGCAACCTTGTGACCCAGACGGTGAGAGTGTCACCATCTGAGCCACACTCCCGATGGGAGCTTGATTGAACCCCCGACCTTGTGACCTAAAAAAGCATATTCTCAATGAGATGAAAATGATTAAGGATCTGGTTTATAATGTACCTAAGTAGCACTGAGAAACAAATCCATCATGCCAAGGCCTGCTAACATGGTCAGACTAAGGGGGTGTAAGTGCACTATAAATAATACCTTTGATCTAGCGGCTCTGACAGAGGAGGCAAAAAAAAATCATCTCTTTCCATTTTATTAATAATAAATTAGGTCTGAAAACAGTGACAGAGAACCTGCTAACCACAGTCGCCAGATGATTTCCTTTGTAAAGGAAGCGAGAGGACCCGGGTTCAATTCCCGGGCAGGGCGAAACCTTAGGTACGTTTCCTAACTCCACACGCCTCTGTTTACCTAACGTTAAGTAGGAACCCGATTGTTAGTTGATTGGCGATCGCTTTCGGGTAATAATCCATTCACAAAAAAAATTATAATTTGGTCGCTCAATCCACAACAGTTTATGGGACACTGCAGTGAACAATTGGATGCCGCGGTTTGCCCACAAAGTACACAGTCAGACTGTATGTTTTGTGGGCGAAACGCGGCAGCCAATTGCACAGCAGTGTCTCCAGCGTGAAATGGAGGACAAAACCTCCGCTCCACGCTTACACTGTCAGTCTCACATTGCAGGTACAGTATTGCCCACCCCACCACACACACATTGTGAAGCAAGAGACATCCCTGCAGATTTAAAAGCATTAGACTTATCAATTTGCTCTGAAACGCAGAGTTTTGGGGGAAGATTTAGATTGAATAAGCAGATGCTATACAACCTGTGTGATGAGTTTAAAGTGGATTTGGGAGAGGCAGCCTCATACACCGCGGTATTAGCCTGTGTCTGAGCTAGTGAAGGTGACCAGAGCACAAGGCTTTCCACATGGTGTAGCAATGTCCAAAGTCATTTCTCAATACTGCTGCTGCTTTGCGAAGGAGGGCAACCATGTTACATCAGCCTTACAATCTCCCCGCAGCGCCAGCAGAGGCGATACTGAACGAACAGCCTAGCCTTAGCCTGCCTTTGTCAGAGAGCACCTACAGAGAACCCACATCTGCGCAGTGAACAGCAAAGGCTTTCAGAAGCGCAGATGGTGCGGACGCCAAGGATGTCATCAGCTTCCCTGCCACAGCCACAGCCAGGAATGAAATGTATTCTTAGCAGTTTTAGGCAAGGCTGCGGAGAATTAACCGATGGGTGCATGGTAAACAATCCATCAAAACAATGCGTCTTGTAGCGTTTTATTTTAAATTAATGCTATAGCTCTGTTTAGTTGGCGACACATTCTTCGACACTCTGAGGAACTGCCCAGCGCAGGAAGTCTCACGGACAGACTTGGTTAGTTAGACTGTGGGCATTTGGCACGTAAAAAATGAGGTCGTTTTCTCCAGGGGAAACTGATCACAACACACGGCAATGCTTTGCAGTGTTGTAAGACTGCGATTGAGTGACTGCTGGATGAAGAGACAAAGTCCAGAGGCCACTTGGAACAGATAAAGTTATCAAAATACAACGTGAGCCAAACATATACTACCATTGCCTTACATTTATGTTACGCACAAGAGATTCCCCCCCACCCCGCCTTCTCCTTTACTATTTAAATCAATCTCCTTTCCCACGGGAGCACCTTGCCTGTTGCAATGAGTGCTTGACGAACACACCAATGCAGGGCAGGGCAGGCGCAGGGCTGTGTGGAGGGAAATGGTGTCAGTGAAATTGATGCTGGGAAAATGAGACAGCGTGCAAATCTAACCCACTGAACCCACTGAACCACAACCCCCTTCATAGAGGGTGGTGTCCCACAGCGCTTACCAGTGGCAGGCCATGACGCCGAGCCGGTGGAGAGATGACCATAAGCACGTTTGAAGAGGACGGAGGGGGCTAAGGCGGAGGGATAGAGGAAAAGGTTTTCTATCTGTACAAACTCCCATGATTTTGCACTCCCCAACAATAACTTCTTCCAGCTAACGTTTTTTTTGTCAATTTCTTGCTGCAGTTTTTTTTGTGTGGAAGATTCATGAAACCGATAGACTTTCCCCTCCACCCTCCCACCACCAAAGTTTAAAATTGATTAAATTGCTTATTAAGATTCCAATCAGCGTCCGCCAAATGTTATCATACCGAGTTACTATTACATCAAAGATGATGACATTTTAATGCACGGGGAAAGATACAGATGTCATCAGCAACCCATGCTCATCTCTGTGGCACTTTCCAAGAGCATTTTTATGGAATGCTGGCTGCACAGATTAAAAAATAATTCTGTGTAAATCAGATATCGCCTTTCTCTTCCTCCACCCCGACACACACATCAACATTGCTTCAATTGCAACAACGCGACTTATCAGCAATTATTTGTCGGATCTCAGAGGAGGGAGGGAGAGAGGGGCGGCAATAAAAAAAAAGAAATTATACTTGTGTCCTTTCTCTGGGCCAGGGCAACAGTTAACCATTTCTCCAGTTTCAGACCGTTTCAATATCAGTGTTAATGCAACTGTAAAGAATTCAGAACAGTGTTGAATCCATAATAATAGTAATAATAATAATAATAGAATCATAGAAACTTATAGCACAGAAGGAGGTCATTCGGCCCATCCTGCCTGTGCTGGCTCTTTGAAAGAATTACCAACATCCCCATAACCCGCTCTTTCCCCATAGCCCTGCAAGTGTTTCGTTTTTAAGTACCTATCCAATTCCTTTTTGAAAGCTGTTATCGAATCTGCTGCCATTATAATAATAATCCTTGCATTTGATACAGCGCCTTATCACGTCTTTGAGGCGTCTCAAAATGCTTCACTGCATACAATGTAAAGTGAATTGACTGTGTATCTCGTGGGGGAAATGAGGCAGCCAAAAGAAAAGCCACGCTGATTCCTTTGGACAACTGTGACAAGCGAATTTTGCATTGCGAAAAAAGTGTCCAACAGAAGCTAATGTGGATGAACCAGTCAGCTCTCGCCAATTAGATTTTAAGTAATTACTGGTATTCACATAAGAGGCAGCACTTGAAAAGCTCTTCTGCAGCCCCTGCAAACAATTATGCACTTCAATTTTTTTTTTAAAAATCACGCCACCCATTTGCTTATTTTAATCGCTTGGAAATTCAGGAATAAGAGCAATGTTGAAACAAACCTAATCAACATGTTTGTACAGTATAGTTAAAAGGTACAATGTTTTGCCAACATAAACTGTACAATTTAACCTAATACCAAAACTTGTTTCTAATAATAATCAAATCAGCTGTTCTGTTCTGATATCTAGACTATTTCAGTAGTTGGAGTCCTGTAGCGTATTGTTTAGAGCACTCGCCTTACAAGTGAGGTTCGATTCCCGGGCGGGGTGAAAACTTAGACAAGTTTCTTTATTCCACATGTTTCTGTTTACCGAGCAGTAAGTAGGAACTCGGTTGTTAGTCAATTGGCGGATCCGGGGGAAATAATCCCCCCCAAAATGTAGTCACTCAATCCATGACTGTTTGTGGGACATTGCCTTGTGCAATTGGCTGTCGCGTTTCGTCCACAAACTACACAGTCAATTCACTTTACAGTATATTCTGTGAAGCGCTTTGAGACGTCGGGACGACGTGATAAGGCGCTGTATCAAATGCAAAGATTATTATTACTTGAATGAAATTCACTCAGCACAGCTCAGCCTTTGTCAAGTTGTTGACCTTGCAAACTCCCTGCTTGTTGGCCACCCCAACTCCTCCCTCCATAGGCTGCAGATCATCCAGAACTCTCAAGCCCGGGTCCTCCCGGGTGAAAGGCGCTATACAAATGTAATTTTGTTGTTGTTGTTGTTGTTGTGCTCTTGCCCCAATATGCACCTCCCACTCCTCATCTACCAGTTGGGCCAACTCGCTGCCAAATCAGACATTCAAACCAAGCAACCAGCCAGCCAGGGACCCTTGTGCTCAGGCCAGAAGCCCTAGTTGATCGGCAGCAGGTTAGGAACAGGACCTGGGGCTGAGCGCCTGCACTATGCAGCCAGAGCCCTTGTAGGAGACTATAGTAACAGTGGGAATGACACCATGTCTCTGATTTCTGACCAGGCAGCGCTCTGAATAGAGGGCAGCTCATTATGGACACAGTGGGAACCCGATACCCACAGCAACAAGCCAACCTGGACCTCTGCGATCCTGAGAGTGTGGGCCAGGCTCACTGAGAGCATCACCGCTGCTACTGCCGCTGCTAATGATGGGTGGTTTGTTCAGGTGTTTTCCTCACATCATCAAGAACCAGATCCCTTTAAGTTAGGCAAGCTTGTGGCTATCGGTTATCTATATTTCCTTCAATTAACAAGAGCTAGGCTATACACATATCATCATCATAACAATAATAATCCTTGCGTTTGATATAGCGCCTTATCACGTTGTTGATACGTCGGAAAGCGCTTCACAGAATACACTGTAAAGTGAATTTATTAGATCATGGTTGTTCTGTACCTAAACTCCAACTACCCACCTTTGCCCCAGATCCCTCGAAGCCTGAAGTAACAAGTGCCTATCCACCTCAGTCTTGAAAATTTTAATGGTTCCAGCATCCACAGGCTTTTGGGGGCAGGAGAGAGTTCCAGATTTCCACTACCATTTGGGTAAAAAACTGCTTCCTGATTTTACTCGTAAATGGCTTAGCTCTAATTTTAAGATTATGCATTTGAATTTGAAGACAAATACAACACATTTCCGCTATTAAGCCTTTATTTGGCAACTTTTGGTGTAGCACATCACGCTGAGAATACTCCTAGCTGAGCTGGTTTGCAATACAGTAAACCTTCACCCTGGTGCAGTGCTGCTTGGAGAACATTACTGTACTCTGGCCATTTGTCACTCACTCACTGCACTGTTCAGACAAACTCCTTTTTTGGCTGCAAAATGCCTTATGAAATTACACCCCGTTCATTACTTCCCAGCTGTTATTTGTCTATTGGAGTTTCTGCGACCAGCACTGAGACTGTTTAATATAGGATGGCCACCGTTGTGATTTTCTTCATGCCCACCCCCCCACCACCGCTCAATAAATTACTGCAAATCGTAGGTAATTGGATGTCTTTGTGTTTATCCCTGCACTATTCCACTACGCGATGCTCAATGGCATTTGGGGAACATGTGGAGTGTTCCTGACAACCACTATCAATTTCCTTCGGCGAGGCAATAAACAGGCTGTTGCTGCCCAGACACCACATCAGAGTGCACTGCAGAAAGTCATTGTTACAGAAAATAAATCTCAGTGGAAGAAAGCTTTTGTTTTCTTTCCCAGTCCTTGCAGAGTGCTGCACTTGCAATTTATCCCGGGAAGAAAGAAGCACATTCAGTTCTCCTTTTAGATATGATTAAATATATTATCTGACTCCATTTCCCCCGGGACCTGTGGGTAAAAATAAACTGCGAGAATGTGTGCAACCAGTTGGTGCAATGGAAGGGGGCCTTCCTTGCATTCAATTTATGCTCAAATCAGAAGATAGCAAATCTGTATTGCTAATGGAACTGGCTTTATAAAGACTGCAGACATCTTTCCGCAGGCTGGAAAGGGCCCATCTGACGGCTAAAAGCCTCTTCAGACGCGTTTGAAAGTTTGATTTTGCTCACTCCTCCGTGTCAGATATCTAAATTTCCACTCTTTTTCCCTCAAGCACACACGCACACTACAGACACACAAGTTTGCTGGGCTTTTGCCTTGGTTCTAGAAATTTACAGGACAGGTCATTTGGCCCCTGTGTCTGGTTAGCGCTTTCACCTTGCAAGCAAGAGGACTTGGGTTCGATTCCCAGGCAGGGTGAAACGATGAGCAAGTTTCCTTACTCCACTCACCTCTGTTTACCTAGCAGTAAGTAGGAACACGGTTGTTAGTTGACTGGTTTTCAATTCACTCAACTGTATATTCTGTGAAGTGCTTTTGAGACGTCTCAAAGACATGATAAGGCACTCTATCGAATGCATGTATTATTATTGTTGTTGTGTTCTGTGCTGCAATCCTTTCAGTCCCATTTACCTGCTCTTTCTCCATACGCCTGCACCTGATTCTTTTTAAGTATTTTGTCTAGTTCCCTCTTGAATATTAAAATGGATTCTACCTGAGTCAACCATCACTTGTGGCAGGTGTTCCACATCCTAGCCACTCTGTAAAAAATATTCTCCTCGACTCTCCATGTACTCGTTTGCAAACCTTCTTCAAGTCCTCTAGTTATGATCATTGCAAGGCCTGTCTAACAGATCGGATTTAAATTTCTGACCTCATTTCAGAAACCCATTCGCTCTCAAGCCACTGGAATTCCTTGACACAATACTTGGACTCATGAATACAAGCGCGGGAGCCAATTCAGAAACAATGCTGGATTTCCGTCACATTTTCCAGCTTTTCACAATTTCCAAGTCCCAATTCACTGCAGTTGGGAGTGCTGACACAGAAACATGAAGCGCTTTGAGACGTTTTGACAATGTGATAAGGTGCTGTATCAATGCAAGGATGATTGTTGTTATTAAGTTCTTTCCCCAAGTCCAATGGAGACCACCACAAACTTGGAATTAACTTGTATTTCAGAACGTCAAAACATCTCAAAGCACTTCACAGGTAGGTATTTACTGTCAAATGTCTCACCTTAAGGACAGCAACTCCAAAAGCAGCAATGCTTTCCCATTACTGCATTGGTGTGGCAGCCTCGACTATGAGCTCATAAGAACATAAGAATTTGCAAAAGACCATGGGCCATCCAGTTTGCCTTGCACTAACCTGGTAATCACTTGCACATGTCATTTCCCAAGTCTGGAAGTGGGGCTTGAGTCTGCACCTTCTGACCCAGAGGCGAGAGGTGACAGTTGATCCATTTAAGCCAAACATATACACACAAGTCGTCAGTCACAATGGTAACAAGTATTTGGCCAGCACATCAGTGGAATGATCCCATGAACCGATGAAGAGGTTTATTGTTGAAAGATAAAATAATAATTTATCTTAACTGTCCATACAGTGGCCAAACCACAAACTGTACACTGTTGTACATTCTTCCTTTGAATTGGGATCAAAAAGAAACTACTGTATAAAAGCAGTTTCAGTGCTGGCAGGAAGTGTTGATAAAGTCCAACTTTCAACTAGGATTTACGTCAGCTAAAGTTCTGGTAATAATTGGCTGAGAGGGACGGCTTACCTTGTCTGCACAGATGATGAACTACAATCTCAGTGCCTTCGACCCGTTTTCTGATCGTAGTTTTCTCCTCTTATTGCTCTCACTTGCTGCCTGTTTGTAGGACGTTGCTGCGCTGAAATTGGCTGCCTTATTTGCCTGTAAATATACAGTCACTACACTTAAATCCCACGAAGCATTTTGGGCCTAATGCTCTTGACTGCACCAATGTCAGGTGAGGACAGGATCAGCCTGCTCTGTGATCCAAATGCCCGCTGGCACTTGATGTCAGACAAGCACATGAGAAATGTCCAAACAATAGCAGTGCTTACCAGTGGTAGGGCCTGACTCTGAGGTGGGGGGGGGGGGTGGGGGTTGGAGGAGGTGAGGCATGATCGAAGAGGAAGGTCTTCAATCGGGATCTAAAAGAGGGGAAGGAGGGAACAAGCCAGAGGGATTGGAGGGAGTTCCAAGGCTTTGGGGTGTAGTGGCTGAAAGGTGGGCACTGCATAACACCGCAGGTTGGTAAGTATTTGGTTAACTTTGCATTTGACTTGATAAACAAGAATCGCAGACAACATCAGTGCCTGGTAGTGAACTTTAAAACCTGCTGAGTTTTTGGACTAAATGCAGAACAGCAGCTCTCTAATTCTTACCTAACACGTCTCAGAGTGCAACGCTAGTCATGATCTAACCACACTCACAGCTGAGGTACATTTTTCTGATATTACGGAGGATAAATTCAGAGATCAAAGAGGCCACTTTCACCCAGGCCATTGCGTTTGGGGGCTTTGAACCTACTTGGGTTCAGGAGCAACAGATCTGTTTTGCAGAGCTGGAATCTCCTTCACTGGATACACAGTGGTTGCAATGCAGAGCACTGAAGTAAGTGATTGTAACATTAGGAAAAGGTAAATGGCTCATATAAAAGTTTAAACCGGCATTTCGAAAGAAGTGTGAAAATGTTAATCGCTTGAAAAGCTTGAGCACATTCAGAAGTCAACTCAAATCATTAAAACTACAGAACAGAACCCATTTTTGTAAACCAGAAGCTGAATGTTCAAAGCGTTTTATTTTTCCTAAGTAACAACTTTATTAAAACGCTCTGGTTAGATAGATGTAATTCAGATGTTTCAAATAATGCATAATTTAGACACCGAGGGAGATTTAAATCCTGCTCCCCCAGCAGCTCATTATATAACAGCAGCGCTGGTTTTTCAGTAGACCCATTGGAAATTTGTGAACCTGCAAATTTCCTAATTTTATTCAATTGCTGGGAACAGCTGTGGGTGAGTTATGATGCTTCACAGCCACCTAAACATTAACAACAAGAATATGTGCTGTATTTACAGCGGGAATCGTATTTAATCGTGATAACAATCCTTACATTTGATTTAGCGCCTTTCAAGTCTGGAGGACATCTCAAAGCACTTCATAGGATTTATGACAAAGTGGGATGACTGTGACTCGTAGGTAAACATGGCAGCCAATTTGCACACAGCAATGTCCAACAAACAGCCACAAAGTGAATGACCAATTTATTTTATTCGATTGAATGGATAATTTTATTAAACAGATAATAGGAAAACGCACATTAACTCCTATATAGAAAAAAAAACTTGGATATATTTGGGATTAAGTGCTCACAATAGTGCTACAGAAACGTTCAAAGAATGAATGCAATGCAGAGAAGGCAGCTTTGAGGATATAAACTAAATTAGACCTCGCACATAGCACGAACACGTGAGGCATGTCAAGCTCCTATGGAAACACAGGCTATTCTTAATGCAACTCAACCCTAGCATCTTCTGGAAAGCCAGCAGACAAGTAAACAAAATAACATTTTAAAATAAATGTAATAGTTTCAGGGCGGTCCAATCTTTTAGCTGCGCAGGCCGGATTCCCAAATTGAGAAAGGTCCGCGGGCCGCATAAGTGATAATAACAATAATCCTTGCATTTGATATGGTGCCTTATCACGTCTTCGAGCGAGACGTCTCAAAGCGCTTCACAGAATACACTGTAAAGTGAATTGACTGTGCATTTTGTGGGCGAAATGCGGCAGCTAATTGCGCACCGCAGATAATTTTATGTTTCTCTTCCAGGAACATAACAACATTTACACAGCGCCCTTTTTCATGTTAGAAGGATGTCTCAAAGCACTTGGCCCTGCCGGCTAGACACCCAAGCCTTTGGGTGGGAGGCGAGGGGGGTAAGTAGGATGGGGAGCGGAAAAGATGACTGAAAGCATTGCCAAAGAGTTAGGTCTTGACGTCCTTTGAAAGAGGTGAGTGAGGGAGCAAGTCGGAGGGACTCAAACGTTTTGCCATTAAAGGTCTGTGGTTACCCAAGATTGGAAAAAAAAGCCAATACAGAGATTTATCATCCTTGGTTCCTCATTTTGCATCTGTTGTTGTGCTGACTTGTGTATAAAACCACAAGCCACAAAAATGGCCTGACTTCATTGTTAATACTTCCCTCACTCTTCACTGTTCCACCATATACTGTGTTGTGGCATGGGGGGGGGGGGGGGGGGGGGAGAGAGAGGAGGGTGGGGGGAAGGTCACTGACCTTTATTACAAGGTTAAACAGCCTCAAAATAAAAAATAATTCATATGTTGATTTTCCTGCAGTCAGTTTTGCTGGTTGGCAGTAGCGTGTGGGGACGGAATCAAAACCGGTAATAATAATAATCATTGCACTGATATAGAGCATTATCACTACTTTGAGATGTCTCAAAGCCCTTCACAGAATATACCATAAAGTGAATTGACTGTATATTTTGTGGACGAAACATGGCTGCCGTTTGCGCACAACAATGTCCCACAAACAGTCGTGGGTTGAGTAACTAAATTATTATTTTTTTTTGGAGGGATTATTACCCACAGTAAACGATCCGCCAATCGATTCATAACGAGTTCCAACTTACTGCTAGGTAAATAGGTGTGTGGAGTAAGGAAACTTGCCTAAGATTTCACAATCCCTGGGAATCGAACCCGGGTCTTCTCGCTTGTGAGGTGAGTGCTCTAACCAATACTTTACTTTGTAATACAGACTTCAGTGGATCAGAGGAATACTACAATGGCTAATTTTTAGTCAACCATCTTATGCCTTGAATGTCTAGAAGATGTGAAAATCGCTATATCAAATGCAAGGATTATTATTATTATGATTATTATTATTATTATGCCTTTGAACAGATCCTATGAGCTCTTTATTGTCCTATTTTTCAGATATAGCTGGAGGGACAGAAAAGATTACTACTAGATTGTTTCTCAGAACTAAGGAATACCTTCCCTTGCAAAATCCGCAAGCTTTTCAATCCAAGTTTGGCACAATTGTTACTGCCTGAAATTGTTCCACCGCTATTCTTTTCAGCATTGGCGTTTTGGCTTTGAGTTTGGCCTCTTACAGATTATTATACCCAAAGAATTAATTACATTACTCAAAAGGAAATACCCACTATCCACCTCCCAGCAAATAATGTTCAGCTCACAATAGGTTTTGTTTCACAAGCTGACAGAGCTGTCACTCATTCACTATGCATGATCGTGACATCTCGTGACTAATTTGCTGTTAATCGAAAATATTTTGAGGGGAGTGTGATAACGTGCCGCCCTATTTCACGGGCGTCAGCTTCAATCAGAACTTGAGTTGATTTCTTTGGTTTCTATCTAAGCAACAAATAGTGAAAAACACAACAGCAGAATTATTGGAGACCTCTGAGGGCGATAATATCAGGTCACTTGACCTTTTTACTGAATCATTCACCACTTAATCCGTCTTTCCTATTTACGCTAAGAGTCTGAAAATTTCCCGGATAGATGGAAACTCAAGACAACCTCATGAGTGTTGACTGAGTATGTGTTAACGTTTTATTTCAGTTTAGGTTTCCAATCATTTGCAATGAAAATAGAGAACTCCATTATAATGCGGCAGGGTGGTTTGTGAAATTCCAACCACCTTATACTGGGGGTGCAATCGGTGGTTAGTGCTTCCACAATGAATGCACACACGTGCAAAAAGCCTGCTCACCCGTTGGCTTCCTGCACTAAAAAGTGGCCCTGCAAGCCAAAGCCCTATCGGGTAAGGTGGTCCTAGTTGGACAAGCAGCAGAAAGCTTGCCGGACAGTGATATCAATGGCACGCTATGCGGTTTTCGCTGGTTAGACTCCGGCAGTTACCTGAATGCACACTCTGGGGACCCTCAGCCTTGGCTCCTGCCAACCTGTGTCTAATACTCTCAGGAATTAGGTAAGCAGTCCCTCCAGGGAGAGAGAGAGAGAGAGAGAGAGAGAGAGAGAGAGAGAGCGCATTCCATTCCAACAATCTATCTGGGATTTCCATATGTAGGTGGGATGCCTGGAATTCTCAGTTGGGTTTGGATACTGTTAAGCAATGGTGATGGGTTTCTGCCGACTGACCAAAAATAAAAATGACCAACTTCAAAATCATCAAATTGCTGCCAATGTCACTTCCTACACACTGTGCATGTGACTCCAATATTGTGTGTTTGCGTTGGACTGTGTGGGTATGTGAGTGAGACTTACTCAAGGTTACTTTCATTCACCATTGAGCAGCCATTTAAGAGAAGAAGTTAAGAGAAGAAAAGGGAAGAGGAGAAAACATTCACAGCAAACACAGTCTCAATATCGTTCTTCAGACGTCGGATTACAAATGGGGAAAAATATTGAAACTGGCCAAAGAAAACAACAACAACTTGCATTTACACAGCGCCCTTCGCACAGGTTAGCGGTCTAGAGCGCTTGACAATGGCGGAACGTGACTCTGAGCCAAGGGGTTGCCACAAAAAGTCTGAACTCTCATACACAACCACATAAATGTTACCAATACTGTTATCCAAATGATCAATAGGCCGGCCACCTGTCCTTTCAGTCACATATTTGTAGCCTGTGGTTATATTTAGGGCTCAATTAAAAATGTCCAACATAAATGACTACTTTATCATATGCATTAGACTGAAGAAAGCAATTTCAGGCTTAATTACTCATTTTGAAGATAAATCTCTTTCCTGAAAAGTGCGCCTTAGGATTTACAACAAAAACATTGAAAATACTTCTTCAAGGAATGACTGGAACGGATTATAGAACCATTCACAAGGCACACACAGATTAAAATACAATCTTCATTAAAATTAGA